ATTTTTTTTTTTTTTTTTTTTTTTTTGTCGGGGGGCGGGGAGGAAGAGGTATTAAAGAAACTATTTTTCGCCATATACACACAACATAGCTTTTCTAGCCTAGCCCTGGCAATACAATAATCACCTTCCAAATTGAAGTATTCACAAGATTTAATTCAGACAGAAAAGTTTTAGGGACCATTGAACTAAGTCTTTAAATAATATTACACATTCTATAAGGAAATTTGAGGATGAGATGAATTAAAGCTATCAATGCTTTTTACCCTCAACTATATACACTTTTACATGCATGCTCTTAATACCATTCAACTACAAATGTACAAGTTTAGTCCTCTATTTCTACAATACCCTTACTATTCCTTCCAATATCGTATTATCAGCTGGGAAGAAGCTCAAGGATATGAGGAGATGTGCATCTGACGAGGGAGAGATCAAACTTTTTATCTTCTGAAAGAAAAAACCCTCTTAGTAGCAGCACTCTTGCACCTTAATTTTGTTGCAAATGTTTTATATTGGGGGAAAAAATTTAGAAGGAGAAAACGTTCATCATTTAAAGCTTACACTTCTAAATTGAATTTCAATCAATGACACACTTCAAAGTTTTAAAACTATGTTAGATGGCCTAAACCTTGATCTCCGGCCACAAATCAAAGCTTAAGATGTTGAAAAATTGATAATATGCTTGATAGCATAAATAAACAAAATGGCTGAGAGAAATATCCGCAAAAAAAAAATATATATATTGAAAGTTAAAAATCAGAAATAGAACCCATATGATATACACATTTACACATTTACACATTTTACTTGAATTGAAATCAAAAATCCAATTTCAAAGACTAATAGCTATACAGGACAGACCCATTTGAAATAACTATAATTTTGTACAAATTGAATATTATAACACACAAAACAAAACCCAATTAATCCCAACGAGAGAGAGAGAGAGAGAGAGAGATCAAGCCGTATATCAAAGTATATTCAGAGCACATGAGTAATATATAGCATCAATCAACAGGAGTAAAAACGTGTATATACCTTTCGGAACATAAACGTTATGCTTCAAGTAATATATATAGAAACACCATAAGAATCCGGAGACGAAATACACTAGGGTTCCTCCAATGTAGTTACGGACCCACGTTTGGAGGAAGTGCGGAAGCGGGTCACACACTCTCTCTGGCAAGACTGTCCCCAGAACAATGCGGTTGTAGAAAGAAGTCTCGTCCACGAAGAGTTTAAAGTAATCCTCCATCACATACAACGAGAGTGTCAGATTCGGGCTGGTGCCGCCGGCGAATAGACACAACCGATGAAAATGCTTGGACTTCGTTTAAGCAGAAAAGGTCAAAAGGACTGTCTACCCCTATATTGTTCTTGTTTTAGAGATCTGATCTGGATGGCTCCGTAGTGTTGGACCACAACTGTGTGTCAGCACACCATTTAACACCCTAAAGTTTAGTCTATTCCTAATTTGACCCACAGGTGTTTTTTGGGGAGAAAATTTACAATGTAAATCAATAATAAACAAACAAATAGGCATGGGAACTCCATGGAATTTATTCACTACTCATCCATATAATTTGATAACTGTCCATATAAAGAATTATAATTCGGGGGCAACTGTTTAAATTTAATTATTTTCAAATTTCGTAGTAGTGGGAGACTCGTGTATTTGACAACTCTTATATATTTATTAAATTTTTTATTGAATAATAATGTCACATGTAGTGCTGACATTGTTTTATTATTATGTTGAATATTTATTTTTGGATTGCGTTAGGTTAAATTTGGGGTTTGGATATAGATTTAGGCTTTATTTAAATCTGACCGGAGGTTAAAACAATCATTTCTTATTTTTGTCATTTTTATTAATTGATAGTTACTCAATTGTGATTGATTATAATTTTTTGGAATAATAAAAGATAAAGTATATTTTTTGTCAACTTAAGGGGAAGTTAGTGTAATTATGACATTGGCTTTGACAGACTGTTTGTTGTAAACCAAAGACGTCGATGAACGCTACCCTAATCCATTTAAATCTCTATTTATATTTATATCTGTAGCTATATCTATACTACATAAAAATATTATAAAAAAATTATTTTTTATTTTATCTTTAATTATTATTATAAAATTAATGATACTCAATTATATACTTGTAATTTATATTTTTCACACTTATTTGACTTTCAACTTGTTTTGAATTCTTTTATCAGGACTTTTAAATTTTTTTGAACTTATTTATCAATAGTATAGCTACATACAATTATTTATATATATATATATATATATATGAAGAAATAAAGTAGTTAAATTATTATACATATATAATTATTAGGTTGAATTCCATGGTTCAATATATTTATATTTTATTTTTTGGTATGTAATAATACTAGTTTATTTCTCATGCATGAAGACACGTAGTAATAAAAAAAATAATCAACAATAAAAATATTTATATTTATACCCAAAATCAAATTAAAAAAATAAAAAAAAAAGAGAAATAAATTTAAGCGTCCTATTGTAGTTAAGATAAGCGGTGTTAATGGTGGTGGTGGAAGATGGTGATGGTTATGATGGGTGACGACGATTAATTCTTATGGTGGCAACCGTGGGGGCAATGATGATAATGGTAGTAGGGATGATGGTGGAACAGTGGCGGTAGTAGTAAAGTGGCAGTAATGATAGTGGTGGTGATAGTGGTGGCGGAGACGACGGCAGCAGTGATGGTGGAGGCAGTAGGGTTACTGGTAAAGTGGCAGTAGCATTGATGGGGCGATGGGTGGGGTGGTAACAATAGTAATGGTTGTTGTGACAGAGATGATAGTGAGGTAGCAGCGACGGCGATGGTAGTGCTGATGGGGCAATAGGGGAGATGGGGATAAGGCAATTTAAAACACTCTTTTTTTTTAAATACTTATGAAAAATTATAAGTCCTATAAATACTTTTAAAAAGTTACCCAAATATATTTTTACAGACCTATTTTTTCTATTAAATTTGGAATGTTAATATTAATCGTTGGATTAATTTAAAAGTAAAATTTAAAGAGATTTCAACCGCGAAAAACAAAAGTTATTATGTTTATCTTTTGAGATTTGAATTATATTGTACTTTATTATATAGATTATAAACAATCTAATCAATTTATTTAATAAAATAAAAATTAATAATTTATGCTATAATTAGATGTAAAAATGCCTAAGAGGATTGGAGAGATACCTAAATAAATGAAAATTAAGTACTCAAAAATTTATAGAATAAATTAATACTTAAATTTAGCAATAATTAAAATAATAATTAATTATTCGACACTTAATTTAATTACACATATAATCCAATTATTTATAAAAGTGAAATTATTTAAATTTTTTTACTTGCAACGCACGTCGTGCATTGCTAATTACTTTAAAAGTATAAATTATTAGAAAATAAGTCACAATGTACGTCACGGTCTCAATTTAACAAAATCTTATCTTAAAACCTAAAAAGTAGGTCAATTGGTAACGGGTGCAGACCGTATATTCAGACGTTTTAAGTTCGAATCTTAGAGACCCTTTAAGGTCAAATCACGAGGGATTTATCTCTCATGAATACTCTAATTTTGGTGTAGATGATTTGTCTTTAACCGAACAGGAAAAAGAATTAATCGAAGTACACGTAAACTGGTCTAAACACCCCTAACCAATAAAAAAAAACTTTACTTTAAATATTTCGTGCCAACTAACCAACAAAATTGTACAAAAATTAGATTTATTAAACTCACAACATAATCATAGTAAAGTGGGCCCAGCTTGATTCATAGGTCTCCACAAGAGTTTTAGAGATTTTTTATTCTCTCAAGAAATATGAGAACACAATTAGTAAGAGTTGCCATGTGCTGAAAAGGACAAATCAAGATTGGTAGCGAAAGTTTTATGCATGCTGAATTCCATACCATACGAAAAACTATTTATAAAAATGACAGAGCTATGGATTGTTTATGGTCTCAAATCCAAGATTTATTACTTCTTAATAAAGTAGTCAAGGTTTTTGTGTTGCAATTTGCTCAATTGTATAGTTTAGTTCATGTCATTTCAATTTTTTAACTTGTATAACTCATTTTTAAGTGTGAGTTCATGTGTGGACTCATTTATTGATCAAGTTTTTGATCAGATCCCAATAAAACTAAACTCATATTTGTTAACTCTAAGATCTATTTCTTCCAATGTTGAAACCAAGTACTTATTATAGTATATTGCTTTCAATGTAGAAATCAAGTTAAGAATTTTGGGTCCTAGTGCTAATGTTGATGCAAGTAATTGGCTTATAATATTTTGTTGGTTCTACCGTCAGAGGTGTTTAGGTCAGTTTACACATATCTCGATTAATCTTTTCTCCGGTTCGGTCAAAAACAGATCATTCACGTTAGAACTATGTTATTCATGAAAGATAAATTCCTCGTAATCTGGCCCAAAGAAACTGTCAAGATTCGAACTCAAGACATTTAAATTTATAACTCGTTCATGTTATCACTTGAACTATTACTTTGAGTTAATTAACTTATAATAGTCGTTTGATAAAGCAGTATAATCCTTTGCCCAAACTACAATTTGAATCTAAGAGAGTATAATCCAAAAAAAACTCATTAAATCATTGACAAAAAGAATTGGATAAATAAGATTTTAAATAAACCATTGGCAACAGCATATGATCTCCTTGGGCCGGATGTCTACAAAGGAGGAATGGTCCCCGATAGATTGGACGAGAGCAGAGAATATCTTAAGAAGGAGAGGCTCCATCATTGGCGTTTCATGTCACCTCTGAAAAAGAATGAACCCATCAAAACTGCTTAAGTTCAAAACCAAGCACCAAGGGAGCCACCAGCAACAATGGCTCCAATGCATTTGGCAGAAATTTCCTAGCAAACAGAGAACACATTGATGTAGTATTGCCATTATAACTACATTCGCTTCCAAACCTCATTCCATTCAAAAGTTCATCGCTAATGTCCCCCCATCCAAATTTTCGAGGGTGCGGCCCTCCCCTCGACCAATCTACAAAGGTAATGGTCCTATTTGAATTCATGTCGGGGTACAAAATGTTCACTAACGTTGGCAAATAGTGCTCGTCGCTGTAACATGGTGGGAGACAATACTCTTGAAAAATTGGATAGTATTTTTTATCAGATATAAGCTTGATGGCTAGATCACGGTGAATTTCGAACCATTGAGACCCTTTCCTCCATTGTTCAATTGTGATATTGGGCCACATTTGTCTGTTGTATCGACCACGACCCGGTTTCCTTGGGTCATCAAATGAGGACAGGAAGCTTATATTGGTGCCCATGAGATATTTGTAGACTGTTGTAAAATTGAACAAGGGAATGCAAGAATCAGAGAGTAATACAAATCTTTGGTTAGAAAAATCAAGGAGAGCATTGGCTAGAAGTCGTCTCTCGGCATCAATCATTGATATAGTCCCCCACCACACTGGCTGCAACAACATGAAGATTAGAGATTACTATGTAATTCATGTCAAGCCCAAAATTAGCATAATTGATGGTATAATTCTTAGAAAAATTTTGTAATTGTTGGGCATGGGTTTTCAGCCCATGATGCAGCTAGTAGGTGGAGTCCACATGGTGACCCTCTCCTTTATATGACCCAGGATCCCCTCATCACTAACCATTGTGGGACTCGTTTGACACCTTAACAATTCTCCTCTTGAACAAAGCTTACAATAGATAATCAATACTATTCTCTCATCCAGCACAAGGGGCTGAGTCCACACCAGTGACTTGGGCTATAGCTCTACTACCACTTGTTGGACATGTATTTTTAGCCCAAAAAACACACTTAGTAAGTGGAGTGACCCGCTCCCTTTTTTGGAATGGGAACCCTCATCACTAACTGATATAAGACTCGTTTGACACCTCAACAGTAATATATGACAATGATGAAAAAAATGGAAATATAAATTAGTAACCTAACCTGGCTAGGAATTCTTCTTTTGTAGAAGACAGAACTTTCAGCTGGCACTGATTCATTGAAAGAGGGATGAGGGTGTACATATATGGAGTAAAGTCCTTCATGGCCTTCGAGAAACATCTCCCACAAAGGAGCTAGTGGCAATGGCCCAGGTGTCAAGAACATGAATGCCACCTTGGGGACATGTTTGTAGGGGAAATCTAAATTTTTTGGTACCATTGATGCTCTCCAAAGCAACTCTTTGTCACTCATATTGTGCATGAGTGATGTCTGATTTTCCAGTGAAACACTGGAGTAGTTGGATGTGCCATTTGATGTAAAGGACAATCCTAGTACTGAGGGTGTTGCTAGTGGTGGTGGTGGGGGTGGTGACGACGGTGGAGATGGTGGCTGTTGTGGCAGAGATGGTGGTGATATTGGAGGAGAAACAGAATAAAAGGAGGTCAGCATGGTGAATGAGAAGTTAATTTTGATGTAAAAAGCAGAAATGAGACCGACCGATAAACCAATGATGAAGAGAAGCAAGTGAAAGACATGATTTAACTGAAAATTGGTATTAAAGTGCTTGGAAACAATAGGCAATTGGTGCTGATCATCTGCCATTTTTGTTGCTTAGGGGTTTTGGTGAGGTGGGGGGGTTGTGATTGGGTGAAGGAAGGAAGGTCGGTGTTGGAGGAGGAGAGAGGGGTGGAGAAGATGATTGTTTATAATTTGCTAAAGCCAGTTAATCACGTACAACGTAAGTAAAGCTAGTTTGCATGTGTTTAACACGGTCATTTTACTTATTCCGTATAGGCTTGTATAATTACAACCTAGCGAGGATGTTCCTTTGTTTCATTATTTCTGCAATAAGCAATTTCAGTAAACAGTAAAACTTAAGGAATTAGTTTGAAATTTCAATGTATAAGGAGGGTGCAATGCAACCAGTGAGGAAAAGCTACCACCCCCAAAAAAGAGCCAGGCACTTGGGTCCCAACCCGTCCAGATAAAAGTGTTTCAAACTTGGTCAGTGAGGTCCTATGTACTCCATGTTATTGAATAAATAGTAGATAACCTAGTTGGCTTACCCAGTTAAGGAAAGTTGACTCCTTGGTTCCCAAATTTGATGGAGAGATTCAAGCTCAAGTTAGGTTGAGCCTTCCGAGTTTGACTGTACTCAAGTGCTGTTTGAGGATTGCTCAAGTTTGGTTCGGGCTCTTCTATCCAACTCAAAATATTATTTAAGTTCGGTTCAAACCGAATTCCAGCCAAGTTCAAGCTAAAAACATGCAAGTCATTTAAAAAAAATTCAAATTCACAAATTTTAAATATCCAATCAAAAAATTTCACAAAAATGCGACAAATATGAGCATTAAATATCTCTAAATCACAACAGAAACATATAAACTTAAAATTTTTGTTAATTTTACTGAAACAACCTTAAGATCTTTAATAATTTATGTGTATTTTATGTACAAGTAGAAAAAACCAACGGGCTCGGCTTGATTCGAATATTAAACGAGCTTAAAAATTTATTTATATTCGATTCATTTTATAATATGAGCGAACCCAAACCAAGCCAGGGCCAAGCCACTCTCGAGCTGCCCGGATCATTTTACAGTCCTAGGCACAAGGTCAAGAGATTTGATTGTGTGTGTTCGTATAAGCGTGTTAAAAGAGAGGTAAAGAAGAAGAATAAGAAAAAAATGGAAAGAAAGAGAGTAGAAAACCAGAGACGAGAGGGGAGAAAAATTTTGATACGAAGCTCATTTCAACTGAAGTGTCACCCAAACAAGGACTGCTTTACGTTGGGTCTATTTTGGCGTCTTACATTTCTGTTTAATCTATCAATCAAAAGAATACAGAAACCACTGATTGAATCCAGGGAACTTACCGCTATCACACTCTTTGAAGTTTGAACTATGGTATTACATTGTTTCTCCAAGTTTTCTTGGCCTTGCCCCTTCTCTAAGCCTTGGTTGAGGAAGTCTAGTCTACTCAAAATCTACTAAAAAAATGCAAAGTTGTTTCTTAATTTCGAAGAGACCTTTAGTCAAACAGAACGTAGGCGCCCAGATTACGCAAATTCGACCCAGTCCTAATTGAGCTGGATTGGAGGGGAGGGGGGGGTGATAGATTCAAAACTAATCCAAATCCTATTAAATTTGACCAACATGTGTAGGATTGATTTGGATGTACTTCCATCGTACATCAAAATCAATATCGATCGTAGGATTAGTGCAAACGGATTTGACTAGAAAAAAAAATTATGGTTACTTTGGTTGATATTTTTACTATTGTTGTGGATATTTTAATCACATTTGTGGTAATTATTTTTATCACTTTTTTTTGAAACAAAAAAATTTACCACTTTTGTAAATATTTTTTATCACATTTGTAGATTTTTTATCACATTTGTAGATATTTTTATCATTTTTTGGATACCACAATAATAATAAAAAAAAACCCACAAATGTGAAAATTTAACGTATGATACGGAATTATTTGTTTCAATATATCAAATAATAATTTCTTTCCTTCCCGTTCTTTAATTATAGAATTTGAAATTAATTTTTATCCATTATTTTTTAAAATAAAATTTGACAAAAAATTTTCAAAGTATACAACCTCGAAAAAAATATATGCATACACCGTCGTACACGAACAATATTTGCAACAAAAATTCAATTTAGTCATAAATTAAAAATTAAATTATTTAACTTATAATAGAAATGAGTGACATAATAAGAATGGACAAAAAAAATATGAGAATAAAATTCAAATATTTACCTCCTTTATTATATAGATAGTAATTATTAATAGAGTTTCATTTAACATTTTTGTAATACCTTTTTAAATATTTTTCAAGCAAAAGAAAAAATTTGTCAATAAATAATAATATCTTTGATTATGTATTATTACATATTAAACTTTATCTACAAAACAAATCAAGAAAAATCATAAATATAGAACAAATATTATTGAAAAAAAATTACTCGATAAATTCATCACCAAATCATTTTCTAAATGATGAGAATGAGCATATCAATTGAGATGAGTTTGCTTCATGAACACGTAATCAAATTGTTTACTCAAACACTTTGATCTAAATTGGCTCAACACTTTCATTAGCTTCGTGTTGAAGTCCCGTTGCATTCAGGGGTATCATGATTAGAAGCATGTCCTGTAATCTTAGTTTCGACAAGATAATGAATTATTACAGAAACGAAAATAGCCACTGATGCCTAGTCCGACGAAGCCACAAAGTCTATAGTTACACTTGAGCTTAGATGTTCAGAAAAAGACCACAAAAATGGTGGGTAACAAAATTAGTCCATCTCAAAATCCTATCCGCTCAAATTGCACGCTCTATTTCCTCCAGTGATCGCCCCTTTGTTTCCACAACATTACCAGCGATATAAAAGATAGCGACAACACAAACAGAAGCAAATCCAAGGTACACTGTGCTGATACCAAACTTGTCTACAACTCTCAAGAAATACAGGCCGATGACAAAATTAGATATCTGTGCAAGTAGAAAACCGTAAGTTTACGACAACCAAAGAAAATGGCAAACCCAAACTAGAGACTAATGTGACAACATCATAAAAGAATCTGATTGCTGAGATACTGAAGATGCTGCATAATAAACACCCCTTACTATGTTCATTTTTCATGTAGTATTCCATGCACAGTTGATAGACTAATGTGGATACGATAGGACAAACAATTTTCAAGAACAGAAAAACATATTTTACGTTTGGTCGCTGTGTGTGTGTGTGCGTCTGTGTGTTTGTGTGTCTCTGTGCACAGCTGTGGATGAATTGGGTAACTATAAGTTCTCGTTGCATCCTCTAAATGTTAGTTTCAAGTTGCAAACAACAAAAACAGAGCAATTATCTCAAGGCAATTACACCCTTGAAGGTTAATTTGTTGAGTTGAGGGTGAAACCACTCACAAGCAACAGGAAAGAATTAACATATAGAACCTCGGTCTCATGGCTTACCCAATGTGTGCCCAATGATAAGGCAACTGCTTTTGCCCTAATTCTAGAGGCAAATATCTCTGGAAGTAGAAGAGCAGGCACAGGACCAGCACCAAGAGAAAAGAACAATACATAACTGTGTACATAGAATGGCACTTAGAGTTTAGATTTCATAGGTCATAGCTAAACAAAAATGATGCTTTGGAGCAAGAAGATTAACAGAGTCAGCTAATAAGAAAACCATTTACTCACAGGACAGTCCCCAGAACTGCAAGTGTGCCAGAATATGGTGCCAGGACATTCCAGGTGAAGGACAATGAAAGCAGCAACATTGAAGCAGCCTTGAAAATGGGGGGATAAAACGTGAACAATTGCCATACTCATAAGCTAACTACCAGGGTTTATTTTTTTTTTTTATCAGAAGCTAACTGCTAGATAAAGACTGCAGAAAAAGGAATAGAGACTAAAATATCTAGTCCTTTCAAAGTTGGATATAGGTGCAGATTCTCGTAATTTTTTACAATTATTTCCAGTACAGGCACAGTCACTCCATCAAAGACAATTCAAATCAACAAATAAATTCTTGCGGGAGCCAATAATAAAAACAGCAGCAATAAAATGCATTGTGATTTCAAGCATTGATCCTAACATAAATCCAACACTGCTTCCCTGGCCTTTCAAAAGTGTATTTACAACTGAAGCACCAATCATGGTCATAATCATGATTGCCCAGAGAACAGATCATATAAAATTACAGGATTAAAATTATGATATGAGAGAATTATCCATAATATCATTTGTCCATTTTATAAAAGCATTTGTAATTAGTGTCTCCTGACTGAAAATACTGACGAACGTAATATCTAGTGTCACCAAAGCTTCTGACCCTCAAAACCAAATTTTCTCCAAGACGGATAAATTCGTGAACAATTAGTAACAGAAAGAAATGAAACCAGGACAAAAAGTGATAAGTTTAATAAGTGCAAATACATAAATTTAGCATTTAACTTGCAACTTAAATTAACTACGTGATAATTAAACGGACAAGTATGTGTAATTAGGTGCCAAACTCAAGTAGTTGGCTTAAGACCATTAAATAATGGGCACATGATTAGAAATCTATTGGCATGCATCAATAAAGCAGGAAGATCATTGTAACATTCCAAAATTCACTTCCACCGTCTTTTTGGCAATAAAATGGAACATGAAGGAAAGAATCCCATTATCAATTTAATAGGTTAAAATCCTTGTGGTCAAGCCCAGGATTATGGAATATCTTTATAAATATCATTTTGCCTGAGAGAATGTAAATAGGAAAGTTATGTGAGAATTAATGTCCATGAGCTTCAGATACATGGAACAACTAAAGATGGGAAATACCATTCCAGCGAAGCTTTTAATCAGAAGACTTTTCCTTCCTTCTCTGTCCATTAAAAAGGATGCCATGGTTGTACCTGCAAATAAAAATTGGCATTTAGTATCATGCCAACTCTAAAACAAACTTTTTTATTTAACTTCGTAAGAGTGCTGACCAAAAACATTTGACGCCCCAACCAGAGCACTGGCAGCAACATCAGATGCAATTCCAGCGCTGCGGAACACAGCTGTAGAATAACATACCACAGCATTTATTCCAGACAACTGTTGGAACAAAAAAAGTGCTGCACCAACACTGACAACTGCAGCAATAGATAGATGTCAGAAATTTCACCTTTACGACTTTCAGTAGGAGGAATCGATGACTACAAATAACAGAATGAAAAACAACAATGTTCTAATCAAAAAAATAAATAAATAACAACAATGTTGTGTGTTGGTGTTTATGTATAGACAAACCCCACTGTCTATGAATTTTTAGAGGAACTCTGACCTGAGTAGTGATTTTCATTTAGAGGTCTGACCATATCAAGAGTCAACAATTGAATTTTCCCTACCCAGAACTTATATTTATTGATTAAAAAAGATTGCATCATATTTACACGTAACAAGAGATAAAGAGATAGCATTAACTATTTTGTCATGAATAAATTGTCAATACATCTTCACTTTTCTTAAGTTGGAAAAGAACACATCATAGGCAATTTGGTCCAACTCCAACCTCATGCTGAATCCATAAACACTATATCTTCCTCAACTAAAAGAAAGACTCTTAGAATACATGAAACATATATCACCCAATGGAAAAACCAACAGAGAAAATATATACAACCATAACTGCACGCAAGAGGATTTTTTTTCAACAAAACTTAAGACTTTTGCGAGCTCTTCTTCATAGTATAGAAAGCAAAAAGATTGGTATCTAACACAAGCAGGTAGCATTTAAGAGAACAAAGGACATTATCTAGGCATGTAGCTGATTCTGATGCTGAAAAAGGAAGACAAAAGCTTTGAAGCCAATATATCAGACAGTATAAACCCCAATTCCTGAACAGATTTGCCAACTAGAATCTACCATGCCAGTGCATATCTATCATCAACAGATATAGGATGTATGGCCATTTACATTGTTTCAAATTAGCATAGTGTCCATGAGGTTTGATACCTTATGCTTATTTGAGGCATACCTTTCGAGTACCGGCTACTAAAAAGATCAAACCACCCAGCTTCCTGTTCTGAAGAACCTTGAGCTGCTGCATGTAAATCATTCATAACCTCAGCAACTCTTGCTTTCCCAAATAGCCTTTCAGTTGCTGCTTCAGCTTGAGAAATTTTCCCTTGCTACAAATACATTGTGCCTGATTAGCATCATCCTAAATGAGCAATAACAAATGGAAATATATTGCAAACACAACAACATTGAGCACAAACAAGAGGCACAGAGAAAGTTTTCAACCATAGGACTAAATAGCTTGCAAAGAAAACCTGATACAGCCAACGAGGGCTTTCTGGAGAAAATGCCATTCCAAGTGCCAATAGAACAGAGGGTACAACTGCTAAAGCAAACATTGTCCTCCACCTGACAAATATGTTCATAAGACAAAAGTGGTAATAACAATGAAAGAATCTATTTAAATACCCGACTAAGGGGAATGGCAAATTTCACAGAAAAACAAAACTTACCAAATTCCCAGAAGGGTGCTATACTATTACAACTAAACCTCATTCAATGTGATAAATAACAAAATGTATTTGAAAAGTCTCAAATTCGATTTACATACAGTTTTTGTCACTCTTTAAGGTTTCAGCCAACAATTTAACCAGATAGATCTTCCTGACTTTGATTCCAAGCATACATCTCCAAAATTATAATTATCTTACACAAAAGTTCAAGCCTAAAATACTTCTGTTGGTTGATGCAAGAATATATAAAACTTGAATATAGGATTGAAAAACCTCCGTGAAAAAAAAAATAAAGGAAAAAGGAAAGATATCAACGAAAGGGCAAAATGACTCAAGTCCCCTTGATTGGCTCAAAATAAGACAAAGTCAAAAGTCAAGTATGTTGATGTTTCAAAGCTTAAAATTTAACTTGGGGGTCGTTATTCTGGCAATAACATTTTCTCGATAATATAGAAAATAAATTTAAGAAACTAAAATTTGTACACACAACCCAAAAAACCTTTAATACCTACATGTCTCTTTTTTTTTGTCTGGAATAATTAGTGTGTCATTTGAAGAAAGCATTGAACGACTTGAAACAGTCATCACGTGCTTGGTTTGATAAGTTCAATACCGTTGTCCTTCAGTTTGGTTTTTGTTTTTGGCACTCTATCACAAATCATTCAATTTTTATTTGTCAGTTTTCTAGTGGTATGATTATTGTTATTGTGTATGTCATTGACATCATCATTAGTGATAATGACTCTGATTGTATTTCTTGTTTCAAGACCAATTTGGAGAAGTAGTTTCATACTAAAGATTTAGGTATTCTTTGGTACTTACTAGGGATTGAGGTTATTCGGTCAAATGAGGGTGTCAGTTTGTGTCAACTGAAGTACATACTAGACTTACTATCTGAAACTGGTACTCTTGGTGCATGTCCGATAGATATGCCTACAAACTCTATAATTAAGTTAGATCCTGAGAATGGTGAAATCTTTGATGATAGAAGGCTTTATCGGAGATTAGTTGGTAAGCTAATTTATCTTATAATTACACGTCTTGATATTACACATGTTGTCGATATAATTAGTCAGTTTATGCATGCTCCTTGTAAACCTCATTGAGAGACAGTCTGTCATATACTTTGGTATCTGAAAAAGACTCGAAAGAAATGATGATTATATCGTCCATCATCATCCATAACTGTGTCAATTTTCCTAACATTGACTTGGCATGTAGCCATGTTAATAGACGATCTACTTCTGATTATTATATATTTGTTGGTGGTAATCTTTGTTACTTGGCCAATAAGAAGCGGAACGTGATTGCACATTCTAGTACAAAGGGTGAGTATCGTGCTATGACACATACTGCTTGTAAGATGTTATGGGTTCATTCAGTACTTCGTGATATTGGACTTGATGTGTCTTCTCCTATGAAGATGCATTGTGACAACCAAACAACTATTTTCATCGCAATTAATTGATATTTCATAAGCGTATCATATACATTAAGGTAGATTATCATTTTATTCGAGATCTCTTGATATGAAAAGAGATCATCACTCCATATATTTAAGTCTAATGATCAGCTGGGTGTCATTCTTACCAAGTCATTGGCTCAGTTTGTCTTCAATAGTTTATGTTCCAAACTAGGAATTTTTTACATTTATGCTCCCCCTTGAGGGGAAGTGTTAAACTTTCCTATATTAGACTTTATAACAGGGCAAAGGACAATTTAGTCTACACAACTAATTATTACCTCTTTGTCTCTTTTTGCCTCCTTCTCCTCGTTTTCTCTTGCTTTCTCTATCCCTAATATGACTTTTTCTATTTAACTACAATATCACAAGAGTAATTAAAATTGCCCAAAAAAGGAGTATATCTAAGCTATAGACGTCAACGAAGCATGAAAATTGAGATCACTTTTGAATGCATCCATATTGCTTGCCATTTCCTATGCACCCACATTTTTCAGAATCAGATATTCAACATTAAATAAAGCATTAGTACAGATATATCCATAAGATCATGAAACATCTCGTTGACTTGCAACTTCAAGCTGCTATAAAAAAATATGCTGAACATGAAATATCAAAAAAGGGCAACAAATCTCAAATCAGAGCTTGTTAATTTTATGTGGTTGATTTAATTCAGTAAGTATTAAATACTGTTTGAATATGAGGTACGGAAGACGACAGTACCACAAAGGATTTACTGCTAAAGGCAATCCAGCCACCAATGCTGCAAGTATCCCAATACAAATGAACAGTTGGTTGACAGATCCAAGTGTGCCACGAATTTCAGTTGGTGATATCTGACCATAGAAAGAGTGTCAGGTGAAAAAACGAAAAGGCATTCAGGAAAACATGGACATCATGATTTTGAGAAATTACTACCTCGGATATGTAAAGTGGCACAATAGCAGATGAGATGCCAATTCCAATGCCAGCAAGCAAACGACCAATTATAATTGTCTGTACACTCCCAGCTGTGGCACTGGAAATTTGTAAGACCACATGAGACAGTGAGTTTCAATAAATCTAATAAACAATGCCAGCCACATCATCAATGCCAAAGGAGCAGACCAAAGAAATGCTCCAGCGGCAAGTGGGATTGCATCCAATTGAAAAGTCTTTCTCCGGCCAAATTTGTCAGCCAATGCTCCCCCAGTAAATGAGCCAACAGTGGCACCAGCAAGAAGTGTGCTAACAATCCATCCTGTTAAAAAAGTGACAATGGCAAACCTGTAGTCCTAGATTAATTTTACATCCAACCTGAAATTTAGACTAACTGGAGGAGTATGACATAAAAGTATGTGAACAAAATTTGTTATTCAGCCCTAGCTAGCTCAATTGTTATGACAATGCAAATCCAAACGCATAGTATTGGTGCTGTTGACAAGGAGAATCCAATTCCGTTAAATCTGGAGATGTGCCTTTATTCTCGCCTATAAAAGATATGATAAAGACCTAAATATGCGAAAATTAGGAGATGCAACATGAATTGAAAATTCCACCACAAATGCAACAAAGACTTGCCTTGCAAAACAGTGTTTTCAGCAATCCCAAGATCCTTGGCAAGATAATCTAGGGCACCATTCACCACCCTGGTAATTGAATACCAACAATGAATCTGAATTCAGAACTTGACTTACATAAGGAAATGCATGTAGTTAAATAAAATGCAAATTCTTCGAATGATAGGGAAAGAATCGTTGAAAGGCAATTCATCCAGTACATGTACAAAAACCTACCCTAGATGATATCCGAATAAAACGGCTCCCAAACAAGCAACACCAACATATGGCAGAACAGATGCAGAAGGTCTCTCCTTGATTTTGGCAGGGGCAATATCCTCCATATCTCCTTCTATAACCTAAAAAAATAAACCAAGTAGCTAGTAAGAAAATAGTTGTAGGAAATCCCGGAATATTACAATGCAGCTGCCAAAAATTCAGTAGGACAAATAAGAACTTTTTAAGCTATCAAGAGTAAGTTCAATAATGAAGAAATTAAAGACAGTTGATACAGATATACTCCATAAGTTGCAATGTGGACTCTCAAAATTTTAATACATCGATAATCACCTCCTAATATATCTAAATGGATCCACAGAATTCATGAGAGCAGAACAATATTCCATAAACAACCACCTCAGGATTATTATTTTCGTTAAGATATCACATGGAAAAGTAGTCAGCAGCTAAACAAGAAATTCCAATTCTTTGGAATGCATCGTAACAGATTAAAATAGAGATGATTAATGTTAATAATTTCATAGTTACATCAAAATAGAATGGCAGCAAATTAGGCAAGCCCAAACTGAAATGTAATTAGTAATTTGCGATGAGAGGTTGCACTAGTTGGTAAGAAGCAAACCTTACTGGACTCAAGACTCAAGTTAGTGTCTCACAACAACCCCACCCCCCACCAAAAAATATATATATATATATAAATTCAAGTCGTTGCCTGTATCAAGCAGATGTAATGAGTAATTCACTACTTACTGATACAAGATCGGTATTTCCACTCCAAATGCCAAATAGCTTTTTCTTTTTGGAAGATCAAGAAAATGCAGATAATGCAGGCTTAGCTATCGCTATTAGCTTTTTTCCACGGGTGAAAATGAAGATAGTACAACCCAAAAAACACAGAAATTCAATACCAACATTCATAGTTTTTTGCAACACGCAATGCTTAATCAATGTGCACAATGATTGAAGAGAAGCTGGGACTACAGATCCTAGAACTCCTCATACTGATGATCACAATACAAAACAATAAAAAAAGGTGAGCCTACATGTACATATTTATTTTTACAAACACAGATGTGAATATATTACACATATGATGGTCAAATCAAATATGCTCTCAAGGATGCAAGAAGAAAATTGTAACATGAGCGTGGTATTCTATTTCATATTTGGTAAATCACACTTATAAAGTACAAACTCAGAAGAAACGATTCAGAGTCTTTTCATAACTGTGGATTGGGAGATTTCACGATGGTTAATAATGGCACATGGAACTGCACTAACGAAGAATGTGACTTCATTATACAGATTATAGTAATCGTCTCGAAGAATAGAATAAAATTACGATACCAACAACGAACATAAAGAACTGCAAATCTAGAATGAATTAATCCATAAGATTCAAATAAAACAACGAACCACGAAATCGAGAACTGAATCGGAATAGATGAACAAACCAGAAGCTTGTGCCTTCACTGATCAGACTTTGACTGAGGACCGCAACACGCTTTGAACACTCGCTCTCGGACGGCGGAGCTCAACCCCCCACGCAATCCAAACCAATAGCTCCTCTCTTCCACACAGAGATCGTTGAACGCTACACTTCTCCTCCCAAATTCACCCAATCCTGGAAAAACCTTATGACTTTGAATGGTGAAACCTTTGACAGCAAAAATGGTAACAAGCATTTTCACAATTAAACCTACAAGCCAAAAAGTCAACAAAAGTAAACTAAAACAATAAATCCAATGTAAGACTGTGTAGTGAGAGAAAGTCTAGAGAGAGAAAGGTCAAGCGCTGCAAGAGAGAGAGAGAGAGTACTAATAAACTAAAAATGAAGGGAAGAAAATGCTACTGACAAGATCATATGAACTGAGAAAAAATTAACATAACAGGAGAGCTTCAAAATCCAAGGACTAGCTAGCGGTTTAAATTACAATGAATTCTCACCGAATGCAACGTTGACTTGAGTGGTAGAAGACGAACTTGCTCCGCAGAGGAACCGGAACTTTTCTTCACTTTCTCTCCCCACCCTGTCCCTCTCTCTGTACCACCTTCTATGTACGTCTCTGTACTTTTGCGGCTTTTAGCAGCAAAATAGGAGAGAGTTTAATACAGAGAAACTGCTCGCTTGCTATCTTGGAGTAACTGGCGCGGTATAGAATTCATCAGTCATCACCCCATTAGTGAGACACATGGGGACATTCTACTTAGCCCCTACCCTGGCCTAGGAAAAAAAAACCTACAGAAATTAAGTTGAGAAAAGTTATTTAGATAAAAAATATTAATAATATTTATTAATTATTCCTATCACCACATAAATTTTAATAAATACTAGAATTTATAGTTAAATTAATAATTATCAATATTTTTTATCTAAATAATATTTGTTAATTAAAACAGTTAACAATTGCTCGGATGGGATGAATTTGTGGGTCTGTCACCTCTTGATTACTAAAGCTGGTTCAGTAAGCATACCTACTACATTTTCATTTTTTGGGGAAAAATTGCACTTTAACCCTCAATTATAACCTTTTTTTAATTTATCCCTTCAACTATTATACTTTTCATATCATACCCTTAATTATGTAATTAATTTTGCATTGTCCCAATACATATTTAATAGAAAGTTATTTCCTTTTACCCTTGACCTATGTAATTTTTTTTTACTTTGTCGTGACACATCAACAATTTTTGTCTAAAAACATAATTGACGTTTGTGATTGGAGTAATGTGAAATAATCAAAGTAATTATGAGAATAATGTGAAAAAATTCAATAATTAAGATGACAAAGTAAAAAAAGAGTCACACCTGAGGAGGTCAAAGTAAAATTTAAATTTACCCTCTTTCTTTTTCTTTTTTTTTTTCTTTCTTAGCATGACCTACGGACTACTATACATAATTTTACAATTTTAATTTAAAATGTCGGGATCTTTCTTAATTGACTACTATGCACATCGGGTGCTATTGATGGGTTGAAAGTTCAATGTGTCGGGCCCAATTATCCTTTGGATTTTTGGTGCTTCCAAGGGGAGCTAGGTGGACTCTCTCATGTCTGACCAAAAAAGTGAAATCTTGGGATGATTTGAAATCTTGTTTATTCTCGTGAATATTTAGATTTTAAATTTAAAATTTGATAATTTATTAAAATTAAATAAAGAGAAATTTATATTTTATGAATATTTTAATTCCGACGTAGATAATCTATTTTTGATCGAACAAAAAACAAATTAATTGAAATACGTGAAAGCTAATATTCGAATACCTTGACTACTGAACCAAAATAAATAAATAAATAAATAATATAATGTAAAGTTTCTAATACTTCAAGGTATAAAACTAAATTAAATCTTCCCTTACCAGAATGGGACAACTGTTTTCCATCCAGCCACATGTAAAGCCCACAAAGAGCCGTCCGGCCCGTTACCAAACTTTTCTCAAAATCAAAACACGGAAAAGGTCCTTTTTGTGTAGCAGATATTCCAAAGGTACCCCACCTAAAGGATTAAGATACTTCCTGATCTAATCCCACGGTCAAATTAGAATCCAAAGTATCATCCCAACCGTCCATTTTTCAGTCAATCACGGTCCCACATCAATACGAACGTTGAGGATCAAGAAAAAGAGGCCAATTAGGTTCTCACTCTTCCTCGCAGAGAAAAAAGTTCTATCTTTCTCTCTCTTTATTAGACCGTTGGAAACTCGGATCCTTTTAAAAGACACTAAGTACTTCAATTTAATAGCTCTCAAGGTTCTGCAACAGAGAAAAACAGAGCAAAATCGTCAACAATGGCAGGGACTCGAATCTCTCTGCAGCCAACCCACCAACCAAACCCGACTCTAGATCGTCTCTTCACAGCCATTGACCCCAAATCTCTCATCCTCTCTCAGTTCTCCACCTCTGATAAACCACCCCAGCTTCTCCAACTTACAACAGAGAGCTTCATCATGGAGAGAGGACCCAGATACAAAGCGTATGCCGATCTCAGAGAATCAAAGTTGAGAACGAAGAACATGAAACACCCACCCCAAGAACCAGAATCGGACCTGACCCCACCGAGGAAACAAGTCAAATTTAATGGGAATCTCGCAACACCACCCAGTGGGCGAAAAAAGTCATCTGTTCTAACTCAATCGGTGCCTGATTTTTCGTCAGCTTTGCGAAAAGAAAACCGAAAGCCTGTGAATTTGTTGCCGGCGATGATGGAGAAGTCGGTGACTCCACCGACGGGTTCAAAATATGGAAAATTGAGTGGCAGTAAGTCAGCGAATTCGGGGGAGAAAAGGAGTGGGGGTTTGATGGCAAGGAAGAGCTATGCGAGTATGGAGGAATTGAAGGGATTTTCTTTGGCAGCAGCGAATGCCATTAATGGAGGAAAGAGTGGTAGAGGGGCTGGCAAGGCTGTGTTGGGATGCAGACAACAGAGAGTTTGAGAGTGGCTTTATTAAAAAGAATTTACTTTTATTTTTCTATTCATAGAAATATTTCTTGGTGTTTGAAATCTTATAAGCGTTGCTTTCAATATCATTCATTGTAACATACTGGGAAGTCTTATGCTGTGATTTTCTGATGAAGAATTTGATTTTTCAATCGTCTTTTTCTGAGTATTTTCTGTTGGGCTAATATCATTTTAAACTCTCCTGAGGTATTTTAATTCTCACTTTGTACATTTAATATTACGAATTGATACTAATATGAATTGAACTCGAATTGTGGTTCACTTTTTTATTTATAAATTGAAGACTAGGAGGTGTAAGTGTTTCAAATTGTGGTTCACTTTTCAATTTATAAATTGAAGACTATGAGGTGTAAGTGTTTCAGACATGCAGAATGAGGTATATTTATCACTAAAGATCTTTGTTTACGATCAATTTAACACTCCTTTGTGAATCAAAAATAAAGTTTTATTAATTAGATAGAGACTAATCATATCACGTGTAATTCACATGAGGCGACGATGGTCTACGAATTTACACATAAATCCATGTCTAGAACACTTGCAATTCACATGTTTTAATTGATGACGAAAAATTAAACCACATAGTCAAATTCATGTTATTACCAATTTATAACATTAAGGATATAAATAAAAAATTTTAATATTTAAGAGTACAAATTAAGAATTAAAACGTCTTTCAAGATGTAAAATAAAATTAGTCCTTTCATGTTCCACTCATTAAGTTTTGGTGGCGAGTCAGAAATTATTTCAAATTATTCCTCAAATCATCAATATTAAAATTTCATTATTTTTTAAAATTCATATTTCACCGTCCATCAAATTTAAGTTTGTCCTTTTTAAATTTGAGTTTGTGAATTAAAAACCCTTTTGCATCGAATCAAATTTTACTCAAGTATTAATTCAAATTTAAGTCAAAATTAGGGATACGGTAATACCCTCTAAGTTCATAATCATTGGGGAAACTCCTTTGAACTGTTATTAGTGAAAAAAGCAGAAGGGGTACCAGAAAACAATTTTTCCCACACCATCTTATCAAGTAAATAGGCAAAAATACAACCTGAAACTGAGACAGAGCCCTCTAAAAACCACAATAGCTAATGTTAATAAATACCACCCAATGTGCAACACATCATTTGTACAAAAAATTACCATCTTCTTTCCAAAGATAAAAAAGTCAGGGAATCGGGTAAAGTTTGCGGAATGGCTGTGCTATGAGAACCTCGAATGTTAAAGAGGCTGTATGTAGTTCCCCTCCCAAAGATCTATAACAATTTCATTAACCAAACCGTGGAGTATGTCCCAGTCAATTTCGGCGCCTGTCTCAAATGCTTCAATCTCAAAATCAGTCCATTTCCCCAAGGAATGACTCATTTCTTTCTCTACAAGCTCATCTAGAATCAATCTAGTCAAATCTGTCCACCTTCTAACTCCATCAACAACCTCAAGGATTAGCATTTCCGCATTCATTGATAACGGCAATCTTGTCCACGATGTATATCCAGAACTAGAGTGTCGAACATAACTTGAGTCTAAATGCTCAATGACACAATCCAAAGCGAATGCCTTGAGTTGATTGTTCTCTTTTGTATCCTCAAAAGCAAGAATGCAACTAAAATTTGCCCATATAACACGCTCAAGTGTTTCCAATTCATCAAGGAGAAAACTGGTTACCGAAAAATCTCTGTTGATGTCAGAACCAGCTAGAGCTGCATTTATAAATATCAATTCAACATTCAAGATGACCTCCTTGGCATGAGTGAGCTTGATTCCTTTTAGCCCAGCATCGACAAGGTTGAGAGCGCACAAAACTTCACCAACGTCATTCAGGAGATCAGACACAAACTCTCTGTCACTCTTCCCTATGCTTAGAGAAGTCGCACAATCCAAGAGATCTGCATCAGGTTCTGGTTCAGCATCGGACCATTCCATCGATCCAGCATGCAGTCTATGCCCTGGAATCAGAATCAAATACCCAACATATGGATAAGAACACTAAGAAGCAAGAGAATTTCAAGAATAACAGCGAACAGGAATTCAGTTCTTGCCAAGGAAGAAAGTAAAAAGGGGGTCCAATATCATGGCCAAATTAAGAGGCAACTTTGGTGTATTTGCACTTTCAAAGTTGCATACAATTGTGGTTTCTTACATGAGCTATCGTCCCGACTGTTGGAGAAGCAACTGTCATTTGAAAAAGAAGCATCAAGTACAGATCCTGGGCTAAGGTGATCACTGTCATGAGAATAACCGACTGAAGCCCTTGCTGTCTTTGGTTTTCCCTGAGAAGAATAAAACCCAAACTAGACTTTATAGGTTGAAACCTTACACACCATGCATCATATATATAATTTAGCAACAGCAATACCAAACGGGAACAAAAAAGAGAGGGGATAAGAAAGAAAATATATGATGAGCATATTTGAATCCATGCACTACCTCAACACTGAATCTTTGACTTAGTGCAGTAGCCCACAACTAAACCAGAATGGATAAATAGCTCTTTGATGTTTGAACATGTATACTAGCTAAAAGATTTTCAACTGCACAAATTCTGACAATAAATTGAATAATGCATATCGGTATTCGCTGACTAGGGTCTTTTCACTATTACACATTTAAAAACCTTTCTGATAGTTGCATTTATAAAGACTTCTGATAGCTGCATTTATAAAAACTTCTGATAGCCACAATCTGTGTTAGTGTAAATAACACTGACTGTTATGCATAAAAAAACCTATGCAATAAAACAACAAAACCCCAGCAGTTTCGCAGACAAACCATGCATTATGAATTGAAGTACTGCAAAATCCTCGAGGTGAAATAAGCATAGTGTGCCAATAGGAAGGAAACAACAAACCTGGAAAGACAAGGGAGTATTCATGCTTGTCTGCTGACCATGATAGACTGAAATTGTTTCCTGGTTAGATCCAACAGCCACATCATCCTGTGGAAATGGCCTCTCTGCAGTCAAGGCAGATATTAGTTCCTGGAGAATCATCGCGGTGGTTCTCTTTGGTGGAGTTCCCCCAATTGCCAACTCATCCTCCTCCTGAGAAGTTAATTCCTTCAATTTTTGCTCTATAAGAACACCTAAAGTATCTCCTCTCAGTGGGAATGGTTTTTGAAAGGATGTCTTTCCATCACTTTCATCCAATATTGATTTCTGCTGAGTCCTATTACAATGCAAATCATTTTGTTCCCTTCTTTTCTCCATTCCTGTGGGGAGTCCAGTCTTATGCTTCATTGGAGAACTAAATGTGAAGGAAATAACTTCATTGTCCTTATTGCCACTACCACCAGTTCTATTACTTTCTCCCACATGGGTCAATCTGCTTTTAATGTTGGTGTGCCTTGTATCATAACTAACACTTGTTTGCTTACCTGAGGTAGAATTCACAGAACCAGAAATTTCACCTTTTCTGGTCACATTTACCAACCTCCTCTTACGCTCTGGGGATAAGGAATCATTTTGCCAGCCACCAATTCTCCTCTCCGCGCCAAACTTGAAATTATCCTCTTTGGCAGGCATTCTTGATCGGGTGCGACCACTTGAAATTCGGTTCAAAGCAACAAAATCTTTGGTATCGTTAGTAGCATTTGCAGCAGATGAGACTCTGTTGCTTTGCATGTTACTAAGCTTTGACCTTGGTGGAGCCTTATCCCCACCCGGCGACACCTGATTCTGCCTTTGTGTATTGTGCTTAATACCAACAGAAGGTGGTGCACATTTTTTAGGCTTGCACCGCTCACTTGTCAAATGTCCCTGAATTTGACCATCTTGATTACGAGGCTTTCTTTCTGAAATTGGTTCACCACGAGGTCGTGAACCGTCCATTGCTTGAGCAGCAAGAGATGCTGAATGCTTATGATCTTGCTGAATATCTTGCTCTCTTTCTTGCTCAGGGGATGATACAAGTGGTCTTTGCACATTCCTTTCTAACCCTTGAGGAGAGGGGTTGACACAATTTGAAACATAGGAAGCATAAACTGGTAGTTGTTCTTCTACATTTGGTCTAGAGTCCACAACATCTAGCAAATGGCCACAATTTCTGCAGGAAGAATGCCCCTTTGTAGACTTGGCAGCACTCACATAATAGTTGGAATTGTGTGATGGGTCTGGTGATAGAGCTGTTCTTCCCTCCAACATGAAGTCATCTATGGAAGCATGATGCATGGCAGTTGAATAAGTAAGAGCACCTTTGGCCCTATTCATATTTTGCAACCCAGGTTCCAAAATTTTAGTAGCAGCACCAATCAACCGAGATGCATTTCTGGAAAGACTCCTAGGACACTTCACAGGAGAAGCTAGTTTCGGATGATGCTTTCTTGATCGCGACAAAACATTCTTTAACTGCAATGCCTCAGCTCCAAACCTAGTCACTGCCCTCCTATCAGATAACCCAGTCTTTTGAAGCTTCGGGGGCCTTGACTCATTTTTTGCCCCTTCCTTCTCCAGATGCAACTCTTCCCTATCGAACCCACAATTATAACTCACAAAATTCTCTCCTTTATCACCCCCAACTCCAGAAAATGAAGTCTTCTTTGAGTTACCCTGTTTCCCAGGTGGCATAGATTCCAAACCCATAAGCCTGGCAACAAGACCAGGAGCTCGCATTTCATGCTTTTGTTCAGAATTACGAGCCCCATTTCTCATCACGTTTGGAAAACCCCCACTGTTCTCATCAGCAATCTACCGTTCAGACAAAAAATTGATAGCGCCCAAAAAAATGAAGGCAGTCAATTAAGCAGACAAACAAGTAAGACCAATACAACAAAACCAAGCATAAATCTAGCAAACAAATTCCATACCAAACGAAGCTTGGGCAGCTTCTCATCTCCTCCAAACCTCTTTGAAGATTGTTTTGCACGAACTATCACAATGTAGTATCAAAGGTCAATCAGTTTTATCATTTCACACCATATAATGCGTGTGTGTGTGTGTTTATGCGAAATGAGTATCTGTAATAATGTTTTGTATACACAACAAAAGCAATACAGAATTTTTTAGGTTCATAAGGCTAACCTGGTGGAAGCAGTTTCTTAGAGAAGAGCTTCTTCTTTGCAAATCTCCGGTTCCAATCGAAGAGCTGAAACAAGATACCAACACAACCACCTGGCCTATGAGGCTTCTTCTCTGTAATGGCTAAAGATGACGCCGTCTTATCCCTAGTATGATTCATTTCTCTTAACAAAATCTAAATGATCTTAAACCCTAGATCAAATTCTTCAGCTTTGCTTCCTATAAAACAAACAAACAAAAAATTCCTAAAACACCCAATTTCTGAACCCACACTCACAAGAATCCCATCACGTCCACAAACAAAGTAATTCCTTCCCAACAACCTCTACATTTGCTCATCACAATGCCCCTCTCTCTCTCACTAGAGATTACGGCGAAAGAAGCCACAGATGGCTTATCTCCACAATCGCACAAAAAACTTCCATTACTTCTCTCGAACGCTTGCTTTCACAATAAACACACTCTTTCTATCTTCTCTCTCTGAAACACTCTCTCTCTCTCTCTCTCTCTCTCTCACACACACACACACAGAGTCACATTTCCTCCCCAAAAAAAACATCCAAATTCCAAACCCTACAGGATTAGAAGAAAAGAAAGAATCTCCAACAATGCCTCGTGATAAAGAATCTCCAACAATGCCTTGTGATAAAGAATCTCCAACGCGAAAGCAAACTTTCTCAAGAAACAAGCACAAAGAAAACCCTACAAATCCTTACCAAAAGCCTGACAAGAAAACAACTCCACATCCGCTACAAAACAGAAATACAACAGCCTCCTCAGTACTGCACCCAACAGTCTGCTCAATTCAACGTCTCTTCACGCAACGCCACACTGTAGCAGAGAAAACAACTGTACCTGACAATAGACGGAGCAAGAGAGAGAGAGAGAGAGAAGAAGAAGAAGATTATCGATAATCAAAATCAGAATCACAGCCTCAAAAGCATAATCATCTGAAAAATAAATATGAAATCTGAGATCGATTCTCCCAAACACCAGAAAATGAAGCTCGAAGGTTTAAGGCTCTGAACTTGCTGCCATTAGCAGACCTCAAAAGGCTAAGCTATGAAAACGGCTGGTCTTCGGGTTTTCACTGTTAGGGACAATGTGAGAGCGGAGTGTGAAGGCAATTGGTGTGCGTAAGATAAGCAGAAGGGGACAAATTCAGCACCCCACGCGCACTGAAGCACAGATCCACGTGGCATATAAAAGATATTATATTTAAGAAATAAATAAAATAATAATATTCAACAACAAAATCGAGTCGTCTCTGTGTATCGTCGAGTCTACGTCTGTCTGCTATCATGCGCTGTCACGATATGGAGGTTGGAGCGTAGATTTCAAATTTCAATGTTCAGACTTACCACTCGCAGCGCGTGGTTTAATGACACACTCGTTAATTTGAGGGTGCCCGTCACAGATGGACACGTGTCGATCTCAAGCGGCGAATTGTTTGAGTGCTGTTTTACTCTCAATGTGTGAGAAAAGGTGGGTAAAATTATGTTACTTTGAGAACACGTGAACTTCCAAGTACCGGCAAAACGTTAACAAACCCGAGGAGGATAGAGATTCTTACTTCAATCATCAGGACACTTCATATAAATTTCTATAGTTAGTGTCTTTTATATTTTTGTACCAATAATAATAAACAAAAGGGCAAAAAAAACTTTATTAAATTTACATAATTAAAATGATTAATACTTACCCAATGAGATTTTTTATATGTATTATATATATTATAGGATGATCGATTTTAGAGTTCAAGAGAATAATTGACACAAATATAAATACCCTGTAACAATAAAAAAAAAAAAAAATTTACTTACTTAACTAAGCATTTTATGTTTGTAATACCTATATAAATAAAATAATCATACTTTAATTGACAATCCGCTATTATTACATTATCAAAGTCTATTATCGTCAAAGCAGGAGAGAGAACGAGGGGGAAATATGTGAATGAAATTTTGTAGTTTTTTTAATTTTTCTAGTTTTTGTGGATATATATTTTTAATTCCATTTCCATCATTATTTTAAGGAAATTTTATATAAATTCTTTGTCAGACATGTTTAGTATTTTTTTTCCATTTTATCTTTATGCATAAAAAAATTTATCACACCCATATCTTCAAAGTTAGATTTATTAGCTGGAACAAAATCCCAATTTATCAATCATTATTTGGAGACAAATTATACTCATACCACTCCTCGTCCTCTTCTCACACCGAGAGAGAGAGAGAGGGAGAGAGAGAGTGCTGTGAGGCCCGTGACCCTTCTTGATCCACACTCGGTTACTGAACTTAAAAAGCCCACTATGCATTCATCCACTTTCTGTCCTCCAATTGGGCCCGAAAAAGAACCAGCCCAGTTGAGTTTACATGTGACATATGATTCTTCTCACACGCTTCCTCTACTAAAACTCCCCCACAAATCTGTGTCCATATTTCTCATCTGCATAGCCTAACGATCGGTCTCTCCTGAGAAGCAAGCCCAACAGGCCCTACCTTGATCTAACCCCAGACAGCCAGTTCTCACCAGGCTCTTGGCATTGCAAAATGCTCCGCCCGCCGGATGAAGGGTTGACTTCGATATGTTGCAACCAAATTTGATCATTTTCTTAATAAGCGTAATAGTGTTGAAAACAATGGCTTATTATCAATATTCAAGTGTCTCAGACTCAGGAACATTCAACCCATTCCTCAAATGTGATGGTGCAACCACCAATGGTTTGTAATTTGATTTTGAACATTAAGACGTGGGCAGCAAATTGTATGAGGTTTAAAGTTAGTAGGGTGGCCACACTGCTCTGGTGGCAGCTAGGGAGCCAAGTTTCGATGAATTCATTGTCATCAATATTAATTTTACTTTATTGAAGAATGTTATAGAGACCTAATTTGGAGTGTTAATCAAAGACCTAATTCAATGCAATCGTTAGATTAATTATAAATTTCACTGATAAATAGAACTTATTTTCAATCCAATGGTCTAATTTAGGAATTTAACCCCTAATTGTCGTTGGACTACAATGAACCACTTTCGTTGTTAGGATTCATGGCAAGCCCAAAACTAATAATAAATTAAGTCAATAGGGTAAGTTTCCAAAAGTCCAATTAGTAGTCTTAATTGATATTTAATGCTCGATCTTCATAACACTTTGGTATTAGGATATACTATGTTCTTATACCTAACCCTATTTACTTATTGGCTCATCTCACAACCAGCCCGTTCATCTTCCAACGAGTAATGTTATTGGAACTCAATCTATTGACTTAATTTGCTATGTTTTTTGAATTGATTATAAGTCTCATCAAATATTAGAAATTAGTATTTATTTTAAATAATTTTACTCTTCATCCAATTTTGTTATAAGAATAATGTTATTGGGACCTAAAAAATTAATTTAATTTATTGATATAATAATATGACAAGTGATTGAATTACGATGAAAAAGTTCAAGAGTTATTGTCGTAACAACAATACTGTTGTTTCACATAACCAACTACTTTTGTTATTCTTTCTCGGGCAGAATTATAAGAAATAAAAGAAACATGTCCAAAGAACAAACACCATGTGTAAGCAAAACGAAAAGCAGAAAAAGAAAAGCTGAATGAGACAGCCATGAAAGCAAATGTCACCTGTTTTTTTGGTAATCCAAAAGCAAGTGGCAATTGGGATCAATCATAGCTTACCTTGCCCCCCCCCCCGAAAGTTATCCATACTCCTTTTTCTTCTTAATACAATCTCTGTAAAGTTATCCACCTTTTAAGGACATTTACTTATCCTAAGCACATGGCAAAATTAATCTCAATAGATATTTAATATAGTAATAAAAATAAATTATAAACTCAAATTTCCTAACTTCAAATCTTGCCAACATTTTGGGGTGAAACGATAAGGAATTTATCCATCCTGAATACCTTAATCTTGGCATTGATAATCAATCTTTGACTGAATTGGAGAGGGCACTCTTGACCGTTAAAACCCAAAAAAAAAAAATTAAAAAATTATCAACCACAAAAAATGTAGATTGAAAAAAGAGCAAACACGATGCATAACTCTCCTATCATGGCAAAGTCGTACGGACATAGTCTTATTCTGACGTACACACAAACTATTATCGTGTACAAAGATATAGAGATTAAACACCCATAAAATGATTCTTGATGAGATGATTGTGATTGTTAATGATCACTTTTTCTTACTCTTTTCCTTGCCAGTGGAGAGAAAATAGAACCTAAACCAAAGAGATTTGCAGTAGGAACATTCAAAACCGGATTAATTCTCACACCATGGCCATAAGATCCATAACCCTTCTTCAGTGGAGGCTTTTGGTAGCCAGTTGAGGAAGAAGACTGTGATTGTTTCACTGAAGCAGCCCATGGAATCTTCTGGGAATGCTGCTTGTGATTAGCACTCTCCTTTGAGAATGATGATCGCTTAACACTTTGTGCTGAACCTGTTGAATTGCTCCTCGATAAAAGTGGTAGAGGACATAAGCCCCCTCCATAGCCACTGCCACAATTCAAACTACTGCTCCGCTTGAACCGCCAAAATGATTTGGAGTTTTGCTTTTCTTCTGATTCAGAACTTGCCATTTTCGTTTCATTCGTGTTAGTGCCAATATCAAGACGATCATGGGTTCCTTGTCGTGGCGATGGTGGTGATGGGTGCGGCAATGGTGGCGATGGGTGCGGCAGCGATGGTGGAGGTGGAGATTTTGTTGCGTGGTTTTGTGGAGAAATCTTTTTCTTAATTTCAAAAGGAAGAATCATTCCATCGGAGAAAAGCTCATCGGCGGATGAAGATTCTTGATCGAAACTCTCACGGAAAACACAGAAATCGAAATCGATACTCGACGATGAACTTGATCGAGTCAGGTATTCAACTGGGACTACGTCTGATTGGGAGAGATCATGAGAGAATGAAATACGAGGACTCATAACCAAACCAGAATTCTCAGAGCACAGTTCGATCGCCATTGCCATGAATTGTTCGAGGAAACTATAATAATAAAGATGACTCAAAACAAAGAGTTGGGTACGTTTTAAAGTCGCGAAGAGAAGCATTCAAAACCCAAACCCTAACACGAAAAATCAAAGATGGGAGTTTGAAATATGGAAAACTGAGCGGATTTCTTAAAAGCTAATGAGATGTGCTGGAATTCAATTTCTGCCATTTGAAAATTTTGAGGAATTGGAGGAGACGACGAAGCTTCGGAGTATCCTAGGAGGTTTGTCATGTAACCAACTTTATGACCAAGTTTGTAGGCGAATTCAGAGACGTGGAGAGATGTAACCTAAATTAAAAGGGTGAATGAGGGAAAGAAAAAGGAGACGTGGGAGTGGGAGTGGGAGTGGGAGTGGGGGTGGGGGTGCGAGGTGAGTAGTGCTGCCAATACCCCGTGTCGTACGAATTAAGATTTTTTTAATAATCCCGAAGGGTTAGCTTAATGGAAACTTAACCAGTACTTAATAAACCTCTAATGATGGATAGATCAAGAGTTCAAATATTCCACCAAGTATTGTCACTTAGAATCATCATCCATAGATGTATATTAATGGGAACTAGCATTAGTCACTTAGGATCATCGTGCATAGATTTATCTTAATGGGAACTAGCACTAGTTCGGTACGTGAGTGAAAAAATACTACGGTGATCTTTGGAACGAGTTGGAATATAAAAAAAAAAAAAAAAAAATTCAATACACTTTTTTAAAGAAAAAATTATTGAATGGGATCTTAATCCATGTCATTATCAAGTTTATTTTGTATTTAAATTGTATAGTGTTAAAATTTGTTCAATTTATATTCGATTCATTTATAATTGTATAAAAGTAGATTCAAGGTGTGTATAAATTATGTATAAGTCAAATTTCTTTCATTGAGTTTGTGTTCTTTTTTTAGTTAATTAGGACATGGTCTCACCTTTTGTGTATAAACTAATTTTAGTCTAATCAAATTTTTAATATACTAGCAATGGAATACGTGCGTNTTATCATCCCAACTAACTAAGGCTAAAATTTAAACTGGTCATGCCTAGGTGGGAGGCACAAGGGGTCCCGGATTCTTGAAGTATTTTTTCTTTTTTCTCAATTTCTTTCTCATTTTGTATTCAAGGAACCGATTCGAATATATAAAATCTAAGAGGATCATTGAATAAAATTACGTAAAAATATATTAAAGGGTTCTAAATTTGGAATAGAGGGTGAAAGAATGATTAAGTTATCAAGATTAGGTTAAGAAGAAAAGATTATTGGTATTATGTTTAGACCACAAGGACACAAACTTGGGTGAGATTGTCGCTCTATCAAGGTCAGTGTATAAATTTTGAATAACGTATTATTTGGACAGAGTGAGAAATTTTTTACTATGAGGGTAACCATTAAAAACGATCATCGTCACTACTTGAATTGATCCAAATCTAATTTAAAAACTTTAATACGTATTGGATCGGTGATGGATTCAGGGTGGAGGCCCCACCCTAAATCCGCCAGGGCATATTATTTTTGACCTTTTCTATTGGTGTAGTAGATCGGTACAAAAACAAACCAACATATTTCTGTGGCCTCATTTGTCTAGATGTTCTGGCAAGTCACCTTTTTCTGAAACGAGAAATATATTCCATATCACCACATCATGTGCTCTGTGACATGATTTGATTTAGAATGGTGCAGGGATAACAGAAAAATAAACCACAAGAAAATATTTATAATAAAACAGTAGTATTTATCCCAAGAGAGTTTATAAAATAAAAACAAAGAAAATTATAAATTCTCAAGTACCAAACAGAGACAAGCATAACCAATGCTACCATAGGATGTTTGTGACATATTTGTCAATTTGCAGAGATGGTTGTGTATGATGTTTGTGACATGTCTTTTGTTTGAGAAGACTCTATGGTTTTCATGTCCAAAAGTCTTACTATTTTTTTTTTATCAATCCAACAAGCCAACTTCAAGTGATAGGATATTTTTTTCTTATCATGTCGTTTAGATTATCCGATTAATCCTACTCCCATTNTTGTTTGAGAAGACTCTATGGTTTTCATGTCCAAAAGTCTTGCTATTTTTTTTTTTATCAATCCAACAAGCCAACTTCAAGTGATAGGATATTTTTTTCTTATCATGTCGTTTAGATTATCCGATTAATCCTCCCAATNTAAAAACGATCATCGTCACTACTTGAATTGATCCAAATCTAATTTAAAAACTTTAATACGTATTGGATCGGTGATGGATTCAGGGTGGAGGCCCCACCCTAAATCCGCCAGGGCATATTATTTTTGACCTTTTCTATTGGTGTAGTAGATCGGTACAAAAACAAACCAACATATTTCTGTGGCCTCATTTGTCTAGATGTTCTGGCAAGTCACCTTTTTCTGAAACGAGAAATATATTCCATATCACCACATCATGTGCTCTGTGACATGATTTGATTTAGAATGGTGCAGGGATAACCGAAAAATAAACCACAAGAAAATATTTATAACAAAACAGTAGTATTTATCCCAAGAGAGTTTATAAAATAAAAACAAAGAAAATTATAAATTCTCAAGTANAGTCACCTTTTTCTGAAACGAGAAATATATTCCATATCACCACATCATGTGCTCTGTGACATGATTTGATTTAGAATGGTGCAGGGATAACAGAAAAATAAACCACAAGAAAATATTTATAATAAAACAGTAGTATTTATCCCAAGAGAGTTTATAAAATAAAAACAAAGAAAATTATAAATTCTCAAGTACCAAACAGAGACAAGCATAACCAATGCTACCATAGGATGTTTGTGACATATTTGTCAATTTGCAGAGATGGTTGTGTATGATGTTTGTGACATGTCTTTTGTTTGAGAAGACTCTATGGTTTTCATGTCCAAAAGTCTTGCTATTTTTTTTTTTATCAATCCAACAAGCCAACTTCAAGTGATAGGATATTTTTTTCTTATCATGTCGTTTAGATTATCCGATTAATCCTCCCATTTACGTGCAATCATCCCTTTCATATTTACCAAACAAGTACTAGTATAAAACCCTTTAAATAGTCCTAATAGTAGATTTGAACACGTGATATCTAATTTTGTAAAGTAAATTCCTGACCAACTTGTTTATACCTTGTGGTACAGTTACCTGGGTGTTTAATTTTAGAGCGAGAGTTAAAATAGATAAATTATAAGGAACATTATTATTAAAGGTATTTCAAATGTGGGCACCGGGAGAATAGATGTGGTAGAGAAATTCCCAAAATTCATAATCAGTTATAATCCATCAATCCGATGTAACTCAATATCAGCAACCAGCACCCCCTAAGTTGGTATTGAAATTGAATGGTGATGGTTGCACAACATCCACATCCAACAGGCAGGTGAAAGTATTATGGAGCATTCAACTAATAAACCATAACTATGATTAAAGACGCCACCTCTTTTTTTTTCAGTATAAGGTAGCTGTTCGATTTTATTTCTTTTCACCAAAAATAAATTCACCACACAAATATAACTATAACTATAACTATTGACCCAACATTAGTTATTCTATTTACTTCTAATACTTGCGTGCAGGACTGTTAGTCGAATGAGGCTGAACCGAGTTCGAGCCAAGCTTAAAAAATTTATTTTTTGATCGAGCGTNGGAGCATTCAACTAATAAACCATAACTATGATTAAAGACGCCACCTCTTTTTTTTTTAGTATAAGGTAGCTGTTCGATTTTATTTCTTTTCACCAAAAATAAATTCACCTAATACTTGCGTGCAGGACTGTTAGTCGAATGAGGCCGAACCGAATTTGAGCCAAGCTTAAAAAATTTATTTTTTAATCGAGCATAAAAAATTGTTCAAGTTCGACTTGTTTAGCAAACAAGTCAAGCCTGAACGAGTAAAAAACAAGTTGAACCTGAACCGAGCCCGAATATTTGCGCATGAACGAGTCGAGCCCGTCGAGTTTGAGCCGAACTTGTAAAGCTTGTTTTTTAAACAAGCCTAAAAACTTGTTCACAAGTTCGGGCTTGTTTAAAAAACGAACCAAACCTGAACGAGCCGAATTCAAATCAAATTCAAGTAACTCAGTTTGATTAACAGTCCTACTTGCGTGTCAACTGTCTGCTAGGTGATATAGCTGTTATATATTTTTGCCCATGGATCATCGTTGACCATATTAGCCTTATAGTTAGGACACTTGAACAATACTGGTTGAATCTTCTTCCAATGAATTGTACTAGTCTTTTTTTTATTTTTTTTTTTGGTTATGAACAGATAAAAGATTACAGATATTTTTTGAACATATTTTACCTAATATTACACTACAATCCCAAGCCAAGAAGACCAATAAACTTAAATCTACGCACGACGTCCAAAAGATTCTAACCATTGGAATTGTACTTAGTCCAAGGCATGAGAGGTGAAATTGTGCAAATGGGTATTCATATCGTTTAATAAATATGATTTTTAGAGGTTGAGTCTATTCTTTGGTAATGCAGAGGTCTCAAGTTCAATCCTTTCACACAACCACTAAAAGCTAGTCATCCTTGTCACTTAGCTCTAACTTAGCTCAATACACAATGATTAATCTCTGAATTTAAGAGAGTAATCGACGTAAATCTGGATATCTTATGACCAAAAAGATATATATGATTCTCACAAACAGCCAAGAACTAACTCAATGGATAGATCGTAATAAAGGCCGGCAATGGCCAGGATAGCCTCAGCCCGCCACTCAATATCCCAGAACAAGCCACAAGCTGAGCAATCCACCCAATTTTGTTAAATGTTTCTGATTTTTTTTTTATGTTTANCCGAACTTGTAAAGCTTGTTTTTTAAACAAGCCTAAAAACTTGTTCACAAGTTCGGACTTGTTTAAAAAACGAACCGAACCTGAACGAACCGAATTTAAATCAAATTCAAGTAACTCAGTTTGATTAACAGTTTTACTTGCGTGTCAACTGTCCGCTAGGTGATATAGCTGTTATATATTTTTGCCCATGGATCATCGTTGACCATATTAGCCTTATAGTTAGGACACTTGAACAATACTGGTTGAATCTTCTTCCAATGAATTGTACTAGTCTTTTTTTTATTTTTTTTTTTGGTTATGAACAGATAAAAGATTACAGATATTTTTTGAACATATTTTACCTAATATTACACTACAATCCCAAGCCAAGAAGACCAATAAACTTAAATCTACGCACGACGTCCAAAAGATTCTAACCATTGGAATTGTACTTAGTCCAAGGCATGAGAGGTGAAATTGTGCAAATGGGTATTCATATCGTTTAATAAATATGATTTTTAGAGGTTGAGTCTATTCTTTGATAATGCAGAGATCTCAAGTTCAATCCTTTCACACAACCACTAAAAGCTAGTCATCCTTGTCACCTAGCTCTAACTTAGCTCAATACACAATGATTAATCTCTGAATTTAAGAGAGTAATCGACGTAAATCTGGATTCTGGATATCTTATAACCAAAAAGATATATATGATTCTCACAAACAGCCAAGAAGTAACTCAATGGATAGATCGTAATAAAGGCCGGCAATGGCCAGGATAGCCTCAGCCCGCCACTCAATGTCCCAGAACAAGCCACAAGCTGAGCAATCCACCCAATTTTGTTAAATGTTTCTGATTTTTTTTTAATTTTTACATATCTTCCATTTTGTGGAGTCAATGAGCTTGGTCGCGAGCCTACTGATCACCGTCTTCACAGGCTTTAACCCGACCAACCTAACGTTGCCCCACTTAATAGGGTTATCGGACTACCACCTGACACGCTAGGTGGGTCATCAAACTACCCGCTAGTTCAATGGGCCATCCTACTAAAGGACGAACCCATGGACCATGGGACATTAGTGGAGCTTAAAACATAGGGGGGAGAGAGAGAGAGNTAATACTTGCGTGCAGGACTGTTAGTCGAATGAGGCTGAACCGAGTTCGAGCCAAGCTTAAAAAATTTATTTTTTGATCGAGCGTAAAAAATTGTTCAAGTTCGACTTGTTTAGCAAACAAGTCAAGCCTGAACGAGTAAAAAACAAGTTGAACCTGAACCGAGCCCGAATATTTGCGCATGAACGAGTCGAGCCCGTCGAGTTTGAGCCGAACTTGTAAAGCTTGTTTTTTAAACAAGCCTAAAAACTTGTTCACAAGTTCGGACTTGTTTAAAAAACGAACCGAACCTGAACGAACCGAATTTAAATCAAATTCAAGTAACTCAGTTTGATTAACAGTTTTACTTGCGTGTCAACTGTCCGCTAGGTGATATAGCTGTTATATATTTTTGCCCATGGATCATCGTTGACCATATTAGCCTTATAGTTAGGACACTTGAACAATACTGGTTGAATCTTCTTCCAATGAATTGTACTAGTCTTTTTTTTATTTTTTTTTTTGGTTATGAACAGATAAAAGATTACAGATATTTTTTGAACATATTTTACCTAATATTACACTACAATCCCAAGCCAAGAAGACCAATAAACTTAAATCTACGCACGACGTCCAAAAGATTCTAACCATTGGAATTGTACTTAGTCCAAGGCATGAGAGGTGAAATTGTGCAAATGGGTATTCATATCGTTTAATAAATATGATTTTTAGAGGTTGAGTCTATTCTTTGATAATGCAGAGATCTCAAGTTCAATCCTTTCACACAACCACTAAAAGCTAGTCATCCTTGTCACCTAGCTCTAACTTAGCTCAATACACAATGATTAATCTCTGAATTTAAGAGAGTAATCGACGTAAATCTGGATTCTGGATATCTTATAACCAAAAAGATATATATGATTCTCACAAACAGCCAAGAAGTAACTCAATGGATAGATCGTAATAAAGGCCGGCAATGGCCAGGATAGCCTCAGCCCGCCACTCAATGTCCCAGAACAAGCCACAAGCTGAGCAATCCACCCAATTTTGTTAAATGTTTCTGATTTTTTTTTAATTTTGANGGATAGCCTCAGCCCGCCACTCAATATCCCAGAACAAGCCACAAGCTGAGCAATCCACCCAATTTTGTTAAATGTTTCTGATTTTTTTTTTATGTTTACATATCTTCCATTTTGTGGAGTCAATGAGCTTGGTCGCGAGCCTACTGATCACCGTCTTCACAGGCTTTAACCCGACCAACCTAACGTTGCCCCACTTAATAGGGTTATCGGACTACCACCTGACACGCTAGGTGGGTCATCAAACTACCCGCTAGTTCAATGGGCCATCCTACTAAAGGACGAACCCATGGACCATGGGACATTAGTGGAGCTTAAAACATAGGGGGGAGAGAGAGAGAGCAGGGCACAAACACCACCAGCATACAATATTACACCCCACTCGAAGGCCAACTGGATAGCATATAAAGTAGGGATAAGGTGTCCATGGACCCCAATGTATGCAACTCTTAATACCCTTTTTTCTCCATAATTGATGACCCAAGAGGCAGCGTCCGTGGTGGATAATGCACCCAAGCAAAAGAGTCTTATCTTTCTTTTTCATTTTTTTAAAAATCCCTTTTCATCTTTTCCATCTTTGGCCAACTTGGCATGTGACCAAACGCTTAAAGATGCAACCTAAAGCATCAAGGACTTTCATATCTCCTACATGTCTCATTCCTTGTTTATCATTTTGTTCTTCTGAAATGATGTTTGTTGGGTTGGGGCCTTCACTGGAGGATGCATATAAACCAAAAGGCAACATTATTTATTTACAATAGGTAAAACACGGTGAGAAATTGATCGCTTTGAGAAGTTTGAGATCTCGAAGAAGTAACTGTGTGAAAACGCTAGTACAAGTTCATGATGGGTATATTTCCATACATGAAAAATGAGGAGGAAGATAAAAAGAAGTAATCCAAATTTGATTCAACACAACCATTCCAAAGGTTGTGATGGAATCAACAAACACAACATTAGATATGGTTTGATGAGTAAATAAAGGGCCTATAAAAATAGTGATGTGAAGCCAGCGTGTCAAAAATCACAATTAGTGTCAATGTATAGGTAGAAACATAACGGTGCCTTACACATAACCAACTGGTAGGTTCTTGTTACTTACCAGGGCCTGGGGTTCTTGATAACTCTTGGATGAGAAAATGAGCACCAACTGTGGAAACACCAAAGATGAGAGGGATGTCCACAAATAGCTTTTTGGTAACTTTAATGGACAACCCTAGTGCTCTCAAAAAGGATCTAAAAAGGGTTGTCTGGGTATGAATAATGAAAGACATTTATGAAAAGCTAATCTCACAAAGTAATATTCTTACCAGAAGGTTAAGAGTTTACTTCCATCTTTAACAACTTTTCCTCTTATTCATGCGCTGCATTTCATGATGGGGACAACAATGAAGGGGACCGCCACCACTTTGTAACATCTCTCTACCATAACAGAGATTGATGGGATGAAATTAATTCATTTTATGCTACTGCCAAATTTACACAGTTTTACACAGCAGTGGATCACTTGCAGATTTTTCCCACAAGGCTACATTGAACCGATGTCAGAATTGACTAAATTTGTATAAACAATTTTGGTACCTTCAACACTGCCATTTCAACGGTGAGAAGGCCTGAAGGGACAAACACCGTCATATGTCCAAATCATCATCTGGGTCTTCATCAGAATCTGGCATCTCATCATCTGAATCACGGAAGTAAATTATGTCGCCCCTGCCAGAATCCTCAGTCATTTGCAGTTTCTCGACAGGAGTGTCTTTATTCTCAATTTTGCTTCCATCAACAGATCTCCGGCCATCGTAGATGTGAATTTCTTTATCATTTCCTGAAGCAAACAGAATGTTACACAACTCTTAAAGTCATACACATCAACCTCCATAATAAGGACCGGAGACTAATTTAAAAAGTAGAAAAGGGAAAAAGAACAGAAAGAGGGATCTTTTTTCCCACCACATGCAGAAGCTCAAGTCTGACACGTAAAATAGTTAAACCTAAGATTTATCCATACCCTGGTGCTCAAATGGAAGCACAACTTTGGCCCTGTCAATACGCTCCTTTTCCGAAAGCTGAAGATTGAATTGCACCTGCCAAAAGAACACCCCTGTTGTAAAGAATATAAATATTGCAATCCATTACAGGTTACATCTCTGGTAATTCCCTTACCTGTATGTACATATTTAGTTACGGTTGTCAGATGTGTTTGCATGTGGTTTTCTCTGGCTTACGTGCAAATTTATTAATGGAATCACCAAAAAGAAAAAGGGAACAGATAGGGAGAGTGGTAATAGGAGTGAATGTCCCATATTCTTTGCCATGTATGTAATGTACACTCGAAAGTGTTCTTTTTTGTGTTGTGCGAACTGGATAGAGGCTATAGAGAGACCAGGTAGAGCTAGACAAGACTAACCTTTGGCACAAGGCTTTGAGTGAGCATTCCATCTTCCGAAGAAACAGTGGAAAATTTAATGCCTGATTGATCCACACAAAACTCTTCACACTGACAGTAGTTTTTAATGATGTTAGATGAGTTGCTAGTTTAATATCAGCACAAAAGATTTTAGACACGGAGGAAGAGATTACCATCAGTCTAACACGTCCATTTCTTCGTTTGAAGCGCACATAAAATTTCCCCCTATTAAAATTCTGTTCAAGCAAAGAAAGGTTCTCAGGGTTGCCTCTTTGTCCATTTGTCATTAGAGTCATTGGTTCTAAATTGGCCAGCATAGAGGCCATGTACTCAAAAACAGCAGTGACCCTGACTTCATGAAGGTCTGAATGTAATAACCAAAGCACAGAAGAAACTTGGTCTGCAACCAAAAAAGGGTAGAAACTGAATCATCTCTGGAGTAGTTTTTGGTGAATTAAGTAAAATTGAATTGAAGACTCTATATTGGGAGGAATCCAACTACTAACCATTCTCACTCCTAGACAATTGGCAACAATATTAAATAATTATGTGATTAGTTCAAGAGATCAAATTCTGGTATACATGCCATCTCTCAAAGATTGATAATGGACATGTCAACATCAGCAGTCAGTTACCCATGTATGCAAAGAAGGCAAGCAATGGTGATGGGGGTTATTCAGCAAAGAACTGATGATTTATGCATTTCATAAAGTATCAAAACCAGCTGATACATTGCTCCAGTTAACGTAATTGATTGATACCAATAACGGATTGCTGGACAAAGGGTTCTAAGGCCTGCTGGAAGCCTGGTCAAATAGGTGATTGCGCTTAGATGCGTCATAATAAAAATAAATTTTGGCAACCTCAGGAAGCCTCTACTTTATCTAGTCAAATGGTTTGGAATTCTACTCCTTGATGTGCATTTTTTTGACCAACACGAGTGGCTCTTAATTCGACTTTTTTTAACAAAGTGTAACTTTAACTTGCATTTCTAATAGTCTTCCCAGATAAAGTTACTCTGGTAAGAATCCAGTGCTATCTAAATGGCATACAGTATGCATTATAATTTTTCATGCATATTAAAAAGAATACTCAGAAAAAAAATAAAGAAGCCAGCAATACATACGATGGCTACGAAGGTTGCTTAAAAGGCGTGCCACAGTAGACGTAGATGCATGTCTTAGCATTTCACTGACCTGAAAAGATACAAAAACATCACATATGCAAGAGAGGGGGGGTGGGGAGAGAGAGAGAGATGAGAGGTGTGCTGCAAACAAGCACAGAATCTTCAAGCCAAAACTCTTACCTCTGAACCACGATGTCGCTAAACATACAGAAGTGCAGGGAATTGAATGCAACTTCGCAATCCAAAAATACTTACATATTAAAAGTATAAACAAACGCACTGTCACGTGCACACGTATGGGTTATATATTTTGTTAGTAATAACAACAAAACTTTTATTAAATCTATAAACTCAGGACAAGAAGGACGAGCAGTCCTTCAAAAATGAACAGAAAAAAAGGGTGGGTTTTATTTTGGTATCTTTGACTAGTTGTGACCAATGAGTTATCCTATCAATAGAATCCATACTTATTCAAAGATAGCTGTTTTTGACCGTTCATTTCAAACACCTATCGCCAACACTTTCAACCTTCACCAAATTCAGAAACATTGTCCAATCCATTTTGTGGAGTGATTCCGGGCATCTAACTATGTCTCTGTGACAACATATCATATCCTTAGAGAGAGAAAGATTAGTAACAAGCTGAGATTACTGGAAGAAAGGTTTTGTGAACAGAAAATGAAAGTACATCAAGTATTTCTGGAGAAGATTAGATTAATTATGGCCTTTGGATTTTCGTGATTTAGGTTTGGTGAGCCACCACAAGCAAAAAAAACAACAAGGCCCTCGACCTCGTGCATGTCACACACCAGTAAAATCGGCCAGGCATAGGTGGGCTTGTCTTGGGACGTTTCATAATCAAATTGATCCTAAAACAANAGATACAAAAACATCACATATGCAAGAGAGGGGGGGTGGGGAGAGAGAGAGAGATGAGAGGTGTGCTGCAAACAAGCACAGAATCTTCAAGCCAAAACTCTTACCTCTGAACCACGATGTCGCTAAACATACAGAAGTGCTGGGAATTGAATGAAACTTTGCAATCCAAAAATACTTACATATTAAAAGTATAAACAAACGCACTGTCACGTGCACACGTATGGGTTATATATTTTGTTAGTAATAACAACAAAACTTTTATTAAATCTATAAACTCAGGACAAGAAGGACGAGCAGTCCTTCAAAAATGAACAGAAAAAAAAGGGTGGGTTTTATTTTGGTATCTTTGACTAGTTGTGACCAATGAGTTATCCTATCAATAGAATCCATACTTATTCAAAGATAGCTGTTTTTGACCGTTCATTTCAAACACCTATCGCCAACACTTTCAACCTTCACCAAATTCAGAAACATTGTCCAATCCATTTTGTGGAGTGATTCCGGGCATCTAACTATGTCTCTGTGACAACATATCATATCCTTAGAGAGAGAAAGATTAGTAACAAGCTGAGATTACTGGAAGAAAGGTTTTGTGAACAGAAAATGAAAGTACATCAAGTATTTCTGGAGAAGATTAGATTAATTATGGCCTTTGGATTTTCGTGATTTAGGTTTGGTGAGCCACCACAAGCAAAAAAAACAACAAGGCCCTCGACCTCGTGCATGTCACACACCAGTAAAATCGGCCAGGCATAGGTGGGCTTGTCTTGGGACGTTTCATAATCAAATTGATCCTAAAACAATTTTGAGAGGTTCAGCAAGCCAGGTATAAAAGTCAGAATCACCCACATGGCTGTCTAAACTGGAACAATAAAGCACAACAAAATACTCATTTGCCATTATTTAATGTGGCCAAACAACCAGAAACTTCTCCTTCTGGGGTAGTGCGAAAACACAAACAGAAGCATTCAAATCCAGCCAATATAGTTTGATAGTCCCACTCATCCACAGTTTTTATATCAGTTAGATAGTACAAAGTGCCTGTTGACACAGGATTGATAATCGAGTAGGAAGCTTCTGTGTATTATTTTTGGAAGGGACTTGACTAGTTGGCATAGACAAGCTGATACACCACTGATTTAGATGCCCACTGCAATCAAACAAGGCAACAAACTTCCTTTCTATCCTGGTTGATTTGTTTCCGAACATCTTCAGAATCTTTAACTCCGAAGGGGAAATAAGGCAATTGAATTTCCCAATGCCTCCATGGCAACAGTATATTAGGGGTGATTCGGAACTCCAAAGACAACAGAAAATTAAGACTTTCCACATAAAAACGAATAAACACGTAGATAAGAAAAATTCACAATATTTGGGGAAATAAAGTAGTGCAGTTTTCTAGAGTGTCTAAACAAATTATTGCAACGAATTATTATTTTTGTGTTCATGAAAATTACTGAGCTAGTGAAATCCTAAAATAACTGATACTTTGAATAGAATCCAAAACGACTTATCACAAAAAGGAATATTATCCAATATTGATAAACAAGTAAAATATTACTTTGGAATTAAAGAAACAAGAGATATTCACACTAAGGGTTGATTAATTAATTTGCAGAAATGAAAATATGATTTACAGATCATTTCATCCAAAAATATTTTCAATCATCAAAAGATTCCAAATTTAATTTTACCATAGCTTTCATTTTCAAAGATACCTGAAATTTAATATTTATGTAGTCAAGATTTCTTTTTCAACCATCCGCAAACATGTCCACTTAACTTGAGAGGACATGTCAAGTCCATCAATCAAGTGGTTTTCATAGCTACGACAAGCCGAGTAGCATGCCAAAAACCACCAGACTGCTTAAAACTAGACATGCATAACAAAAGTACTTTTTGGAACTTTCTCACGTGACCAAAAATGCTAAACCGCTCAGATCTGAAATTGTGCAACACAAGAGAAACAAACAAAAATTAGCAAGGCACGAAGTTTCTTCCCCATACAATGTACAAATAAAAAAACTTCATTGATGCAGTCATTTAAATTATGTAAATAGGGCAGAGACAAAGCCACACTCATAACATGTTTATCTGCAGAGCCTACCGATCATATGCTTTTTGTACCTGACTGGTTCTTCATAGGAAGTTTCCTCTTATCATAAAGTGATGCGGACTAGACCCACCAGACATCAAACTCATATGCAATCCAAATGCAGAGTCACAATCCAATGCATAAAATTTTAAAATTTACTAGTGTACTAAACTGAGGAAGGATGGCCCAAAACAAAAATTAGCATTGAACAGATGTCAGATTACAATGCAATTCTCACTTAAACATCATTTCAATCTCAAAGCATTTGGCCGTTAGCACACATATAAACTGTAACTACTATTGCCCCTATCAAAATTCCAGTGCTGGAAAGCATGATTACCGAGTCTATGGCAACTGAGAAACGATCTTTTCCTTGTCCAACCAATCCTGTAATGATAATCAATAAGAAGTAAGAAACAATCAGAGTCTTAAAACTGAATATCTAGCTATAGGACCCTTCAATTAAGGTTTTATCTAGCTAGATTGACACCATACCTTTCCCTAATTCAAGTATTGAAGAGACCAATTTATCCATATTCCTCACATCCTTGCATACACTAGTACTAACCGAAGCTTCTGCAGAGGGATTAGTAATACTTCCAGAGTCCATAAGTTGGTCATTCCAACCAAGAGGATCCGTATAACAATCCAAAACACTAATCCTGTCCCAACATTTACATTCAGAAATTGCACACAACGAAAAATCATAATCTACTATACGGGTACAATTATTTTTCAAACCAGTTTTGCGATGAAGCGACGTCGTTTCCTCTGCTCTTCATCAAATCAGCATAGAACGACGAGCTTCGAGTCAAAGCAACGAGCACAATTCCTCTAACAATGCAATTACAGATATCAACAACAATAGACAAAGATAATAATTGAACATTTGAAAGCAAGTTTAGTTTTATCTTTTCGATTTGAGAAGAATTGAACTGACTTGGACTGTGATTTTCCAGCCAAAACGTTGGAAGATAGTTGAGTGAGAACGTGATTAAAGACAACGGATCCGAAAGGTGAGTCGATTGAGTCTTTTATTGTAAGAGCTGGTGCGTGTTCTCCTTCTAATGCTCCGTCACGTAGAGCTCTACAAATCGATTCCGCCATTGTTACTTGGCAATTTAGAATTGAAGTTCTTCCTGCGAGAAACGTTCGAAGCTTGAACCCACAACCCTTCTTTGAAGAAGATTGCTGTGGCCGGCCCATAAACTCAAGTCCGTGGCCCGTTATCCAGTTCGGAGAAACCTTGGCCCTTGGAACTACCCCGCTTTGGTTTGGATTTTTTTTTTTTTTTTCTTTTTTCTGCTGAGTGGTTTGGGCTTGAAATTAAGGAAATATTTCTAGTTCGAAAATAGTAAATGAATGATTTTCTCATATTATTTTATAAATATTATCCCCTTATGATTTAAAACTTAATGCATAACTCTGCCATAAATCTATCCCCTTATGATTTAAAACTTAATGCATAACTCTGTTATAAATCTATCTGTTTAGCACTTGAATCAGTTTAATCTAAATTAAAATTTATTAATTTTTCATTAATTTCGTTTCGAGTTTTTGTGAGTCATGTCTAAACTTTTCATGCCAATGAAAATTATAATAAATTTCTTTGTAATTTGGATTAATTACAAGTTACCTCTTTATAATTTGAAACTAATAAAATAATTTGTTATTTGGTAATAAAAAATAAAAGAAAACAATAGAGGAGAAAATTATTAATGCGTTTCCTTGCACTTTTATTTTTCATTTCAACATAGAAATTAAAGAAACAAGAAGATTTTTTTTTTTTAGAAATGGTGCAACACGAGGACTTCCCCAAAGAAATAAGAAGATAAAAATACCAAATAGAGTATAAAACTCCTCTCAATTCTATTGCTAGAATGATGTTATAATATCGAAAAGTAACTTTTTAATTGTAAATACTAATTTGAATTATTTATAATTATTAATTATAAAAATAAGAAACACAAATACATATAATATTATAAAATAAATTTTCTTGTGTTTTATTTTTATTAGATAAAAAAGAGAAGCAAGGTGCTAAAAAATAATTATTCGATACCAGATTATAACTCCAACCTCTCGTGTTGGGAGGACAACTACGATATCGAATGGGATACTCTAATGAAAGATACAATTTTTTAGAGTCAAATTATAATTTTTTAGATTGTAAATTATAATTCCAACAAACATGATCCCTCATCAAATGTATTGATCGATCACAAATATTATAATTTTTAAAGATCAACTTAAATCTTTTCTAAATCAAATTACATATTTTATATGTAAACTTTTAAATAATCGATGTTATTCAAGATCAATCATAATATTTTTGTGATAGCTCTAGAATAAATTCTATTAATTGTAAATTTTTCTTAAAAAATTATAATAGTTAGGGGTGTTCACCTTATTCCTACGGATAGGATGTATAGTATTCTGTCTTGCTTCTCGATACTTTTCAAAAAAGATTTTTTTTTTACCTACTCTACCCAATTAATTGTATCATTCCTACCTGAATTCCATCCAAAATAATTGGGTAGAAATTCGGGTAAACATAATTTTTTTAGTTATTAATTTTTAAATTATTTTAACAATTCAATTAAGTAACCTACTTCAATTTTATTTTTTTTAAGTAACCTATTTCAATTAACCAACACAATAATGTTAAAAATTTAGCACATTAATAGTATTTGTGGTTTGTGATTTTTGCACACATTAACAATATTAAAATGTTAAAATTTTAACACACACACACACACATATATATATATATATAATAAAGTAAAATACAATTCAAATCTCAAAAGATAAACAAAATGACTTTTACTATATTGCGGTTGAAATCGCTTTAAATTCTACTTTAAAATTAATGTAATGACTAATATTAACACCCCAAATTTAATAGAAAAAATAGGACCCTAAAGGTGTTTGGAGTGATTTTTTAAAAGTACTTCTAAAAATTTTATTATTTCTCATAAGTACTTTAAAAAAAAAAATAATGTTTGAAATTGTCCAATCACTACCTTTACCACCACTGCTCCACCACCCCCACCATCATCGCCATCGCCATCATTATCGCCATCTTACCATACCCACCACCCCACAACCACCACCATAACCACTACCACCACTGTCCCACCACCCCACCTTCATCATTACCACTATTACCATCCCACCACTACCGCTGCTACACCCTACCATCATCACTATCGCTGTCGCACCTTATCACCACCACTACTGTTCCACCATCACTCCTACCACCCTCATGACCATCTCAACTACCATCACCATCGTCATCCCACCATTACCACCCACATCGCCACCCCCACCATTAGCACTGTCACACCTTTACCCCCACCCTACCCTTACAACCACACCGTCACCCTCACCTCACCCTCATAGCCCTACTGTCACAACCACCCCCATCATCAACATTGCCACACCTTTACCCCCACCCTACCCTCACAACCACACTGTCACCCTCACAGGCCCACTATCACCACCACCCCACAATCACCACCATCGTTGCTGCCATCACCATCACCGCTTCTATTGCCCCACCACCACTATAACCACTACCATCACCGTCCCACCACCTCACCACCATCCCTGTCGCACCCTACCATCATAATCACCGTTGTCGCACCTTATCACCACCACTTCTCCCACCATCACCCCTACCACCCCCACCGCCCCACCACTACCCCCATGACCATCTCAGCCCCACCGTCACCCTCACCCCACCATCACAATCCCATTGTCACCACCACCACTATCGCCACCCACCATCGATTGCTATCTTTTTCGTTCATGGCCACCACTCACCACCGTCGTCATCTTATTATTATATTTATTATCATTGTCACCATCATCCCACTACCATCGTCGCCCACTGTCAGCACCCATTGTCGCCCACCATCACCACCAGTCACTATCACCTATCACCTATCACCACTATACTTACCACCGTNATCATAATATTTTCGTGATAGCTCTAGAATAAATTCTATTAATTGTAAATTTTTCTTAAAAAATTATAATAGTTAGGGGTGTTCACCTTATTCCTACGGGTAGGATGTATAGTATTCTGTCTTGCTTCTCGATACTTTTCAAAAGAGATTTTTTTTGACCTACTCTACCCAATTAAGTGTATCATTCCTACCTGAATTCCATCCAAAATAATTGGGTAGAAAGTCGGGTAAACATAATTTTTTTAGTTATTAATTTTTAAATTATTTTAACAATTCAATTAAGTAACCTACTTCAATTTTTTTTTTAAAGTAACCTATTTCAATTAACCAACACAATAATATTAAAAATTTAGCACATTAATAGTATTTGTGGTTTGTGATTTTTGCACACATTAACAATATTAAAATGTTAAAATTTTAACACACACACACACACACATATATATATATAATAAAGTAAAATACAATTCAAATCTCTAAAGATAAACAAAATGACTTTTACTAGTTGCGGTTGAGATCGCTTTAAATTCTACTTTAAAATTAATGTAATGACTAATATTAACACCCCAAATTTAATAGGAAAAATAGGACCCTAAAGGTTTTTGGAGTGATTTATTAAAAGTACTTCTAAAAATTTTATTATTTCTTATAAGTACTTTAAAAAAAAAATATTATTTAAAATTGTCCAATCGCTACCTTTACCACCACTGCTCCACCACCCCCACCATCATCGCCGTCGCCATCATTATCGCCATCTTACCATACCCACCACCCCACAACCACCACCATTACCACTTCTATTACCCCACCACCACCATAACCACTTCCACCACTGTCCCACCACTTCCACCACCACCCCACCATCATTATTACCACTATTACCATCCCACCACTACCGCTGCTACACCCTACCATCATCACTATCGCTGTCGCACCTTATCACCACCACTACTGTTCCACCATCACTCCTACCCACCCCCATAACCATCTCAACTACCATCACCATCGTCATCCCACCATTACCACCCACATCCTCACCCCCACCATTAGCACTGTCACACCTTTACCCCCACCTTACCCTTACAACCACACCGTCACCCTCACCTCACCCTCATAGCCCCATTGTCACCACCACCCTCATCATCAGCATTGCCACACCTTTACCCCCACCCTACCCTCACAACCACACTGTCACCCTCACAGGCCCACAATCACCACCATCGTTGCTGTCATCACCATCACCACTTCTATTGCCCCACCACCACTATAACCACTACTATCACCGTCCCACCACCTCACCACCATCCCTGCCGTACCCTACCATCATAATCACCGTTGTCGCACCTTATCACCACCACTTCTCCCACCATCACCCCTACCACCCCCACCGCCCCACCACTACCCCCATGACCATCTCAGCCCCACCGTCACCCTCACCCCACCATCACAATCCCATTGTCACCACCACCACTATCGCCACCCACCATCGATTGCTATCTTTTTCGTTCATGGCCACCACTCACCACCGTCGTCATCTTATTATTATATTTATTATCATTATCACCATCATCCCACTACCATCGTTGCCCACTGTCAGCACCCATTGTCGCCCACCATCACCACCAGTCACTATCACCTATCACCATTATACTTACCACCGTCATCACCCATCACACTATTCTAAAAGCATCTATTGTCGTCCACCGCCATCATCATCATCGCCCCACCATAACCGTTGTCGTTCCACTAGTACCACTGTCAACCATCATCACCGTCGTTCATCATCGCCCCACCACAACCATTGTCGTCCCACCAGTACCACTGTCAACCACCATCACTGTCGTTCACCACCAACCACACTCATTACCACCACCGTTGTCACCCACAACAGCTACTACCATCATTGTCACTTAAAACCCATCACCATTACCTCCCACGGCTGTTACCACCACTACGGTCGTCACCTTACCCACCACAACTATCACCGTCTCACCCTGTCACCATTGTTCTCCACCACCACTACTACCGCTCACTCCCACTACAATCGAAAATTTGAACACCCTAATAATAACTAGATCATTAAAAACAATAAAATTTAATATGATATAAAATTTCTAACCAGAACTTGAACTTAAAGAGTAAGATGTAACTTAAAAATCGAACATTCAAAAAATTGATTTCGTTATATTAAATAATAAATCTTTTTCATCACATTTTTAAATTATATTAGTTAGTGTACACATGCGTTGCACGTGGACCATTTTCATATTAAAATTTTTAACTTAATAAAGATTATTTGTTCTTTGCAGCCCAAAAATTTTGCCTTTAACAAAATTCCAACTAAATATCAAATCCATAGTTACAAAATGGTTCAACGACCTCAAACCAATTTTTGACATACACGTAAACATCACAAATTTGGGTATACCGTATCGAGTACTTGAATATTTAAGTCATTTTCTATATAACAACAATAATAAGGACTATAAGAATTGTATATAAATGCGCACACAATCATAAGCAAACACATATACAAATAATTTCTTTCAATATATGAGTGTACATATTACACAAACATATATTCGACTACAGAAGTGTCAAATACAACAACATTGATAATCGTAATGATATTTTTTTTTGATCAATTCCCTTTCTTTTCGTAGTTATATTAATTCTCAAAAATTAAACAACATGCAATCAAACTTTACATAATATTTGAAGACCGCAATAGTTTTATAGGGCCTTTATTTTTCTCAAGTTGTTACCAACAAACCTACTGCAAGCAATTAGATTAATAAAAATAACCAATTACAAAATCATTGAGTTATAAATCACATAAATGCAAATAGAAACCCATGATCACAAAAGGTAATATGAACATATTCTTTCGGTAATGATGAATAAAACAATGCATTTTTTGAAGAAGAAAATATGTATATCTCTTTCAAGAAACATAGAAATTCAAACCCCACAACCAAAAAACATAGAAACAAAAGAAATAAAATTTGATGACCACAAGAAAAAAACTCATAAACCTAGGGTTTGAGCAAGTACAAAAATAAGAGACATGTGAGGAATTAGAAATTAAAAGAGAGAAAACTATTAATACTGAACTGCTAAATTGATAACAATGAATTTTATATAGCAAAAATCTTAAGAAAACTGAACTTCGGATTGGATGAATGGGAGATATAACATTATGAGTAACCGATGAACTTCTTTAACTCATACTTGACATATAAAATATATGTAGCATTTATAAAAAATACAAAAACAACTTAATAGTCAAAAGTCTAATAATGTAAGTAACCTTCAATAATATTAGTGTTTGCCATTAAATAAAAAATTAATATGGGCATTACTCAAGTTATCAAGGTGATTTTAATCAAACAAAAAATTTTCACTTTTATTGATATTTTATAGTAGTACAAATATAAATATAAATATAGATAATTTAAAATAATATTTTTGTTTTGAAAACACACGATCTTAAAATAGTGTTTAAAATAAAGATTATAAAATTTTCGAACTTGTAATAAATATATGTGATGAAATAAAAATAAGAGATAAAAATATATATAAAAATAAAATTCAAAATATTAAGTGAGAGATTTTTTTCTCCGGTCCTATAGTGGTATTGGGTCACTTTCGATCCACCTCGTGGCCACTTGGGAAGCATAAGTTGAGATACTGCTAAAGCAACTTTCGAATGGGCAGTGAATAATAATAATTCCTTGAATGGTCAAATTGCCACGCATATCCGTTTGGTTTGGTGCCCGTCTATCGTATTGAGAAAGCGTGACGGAGGCCAACCTTCTACTTTTTTGATGTTAACGCAAGAAGATGTATCCAGTATCCATCCCCTTTGCAATTCAAATTCAATCTAACTCCTCACATCAATTCAAGTCAAACATACAATAAACACTTAGTAGAGAAGATACATCGGCCACTGCCGTGTACGAAATATTTATTTTGTTATCATGTAAGAAGTTTGGTAAATAAATAAATAAATAAATAATTTAGTAAATTGTAAAAAAAAAAAAAAAATCTTATGTAAATAAGTTTGAAAAAAAAATAATTAATAGCTAGTGGAGAGGTGAGGTGTAATTATAAAAAATACAAGGTAAAATGTGTTGGACGGAATCTTTTTTTTTTGATCAGGTGTTGGACGGATTCTTTAATTTCTTCATTTTGTATATATAAATAAATGATATGATAATGCTGAGAACGTTATACACATATTCAACTACGACGCAAAATAAATAATGAGACATCATATGGGTTTTTTTTTTTTTCAAAAGAGATGGTGGTTGAAAAATTTCATATAACGCTATTATTCTTAATTGGGACTCTTGTAAAGAAATTTTTATATATCGTTATTATATGTTTAATATACATTTTTATACATTGAATGAGAAAATTTTATTTTGGGGCAAATTATACTTTTGAGCACTTTAAGTTTCAACAATGGTTTCGGTTTTAAATTCCAAAAGTTAGTTCAAGTGATAACATGAGTGAACTATAAATCTAAACGTCGTCAGTTTGAATATTGACAAATTTTTGCAGTCAGACCATGAGAATCCGGAGAGGGAATTAGTCGAGGTGTGTGTATGTTAACTTAAACATCTTTAACCGTTAAGCTTAAAAAAAACCCAATGGTTTCGATTTTTACCCTGAGTTGAGCTAACTCGTTTCTCATATTATGTCTTTAATTATAGTTATTAATTTCACATTGTCCGAATAATTAACGTTTGTAACCATTTCAACAAAAAAGTTCTTATTTTGTCCCTCCAAATTATATAATTTTGTTTTGTTTTTTAAAACAAATTTAAGTAATTAAATAAGTCATGTGAGAAATTAAATAGTTTAATTAATTAAAGAATAATTTGTGAATTACGCGATGCACATAATTTACTAACCTTAAGGGTGAATATATAAATAAGTATGAATTTCAAATAATTTTTTAAGTTCTAATATAAAAGATTAACTCAAAGATAATTCCAATTAGAAATGAATCAAAATGTTGATGCATGATTTGGGTATATATTGTCGGGTTTTTAGCACTTTGCATCTTGAAAGATTTCAAAATTCTTATTTAGTGCTTTTAAAAATTAAAATTTTCAAATTATACCCCTAATGTATCAAAAATATTATAATGTGATTCTTCTATTATGTTTCATTATTTTTCTGTCAATAGTCACTGTATTGACACAAATGAAAAAATTAATGGAAAGTTAACAAAATAATTACATTACAACATTTTTGATATATTGAGGGTATAAAATACGAGAAACTTAATCATTAAGAACATAAATTAAAAATTTTAAAAAAAATTAGGGTGCAAAGTGTAATTTTCCCTACATTGTAATCATGAATTCAAAACTACCAACAGATAAAACGATTTAAATATGAAAACCACAAAAAGATAAAAATACAGGCTGGTGGGCGGGGCAGTTTGACCCGGGTAGGGCCCGAAAGAATTGATATTGATTGGGGGACCCAAACAGCAACTGCCAGTACAACCGCTAAATAGAGCAATCCATTGTATTGCTGATGGAATGGGATTGGACTCACCTCTAGACGACGAACACCACCGACCCAACTGTAACTGGGTGCGTGACTTCTCCCAAGGCAAAACCTCTTCGAAATTTCCAATTACTTTTTCNTTGGACTCACCTCTAGACGACGAACACCACCGACCCAACTGTAACTGGGTGCGTGAAGGCAAAACCTCTTCGAAATTTCCAAATACTTTTACCCAATCTGACGATAACTCCAATTTTTCACTCCCTCACGTCACAATCTCTCTCCTTCTCTCTCTACAACTGTGTTTTTCTCTCTCTTCCTTTCCTTCTTGAAGGTTGGCTTCAAAAGGCAGAGTTTTGTGCGATGGAGGTCACTGAAATCTTTTCAAAGCACTCGAATTTCTCTCTGTAGGGGTTTTCGATTTCTAGTTCTATCATTGATGGAGGTTAATGGTACAGGGAAGCAGAGAAGTCTCATTAGACTGAGATGTTCGGTTCAGAACTACGATTGGGGTCGAATCGGGCAAGAATCGCGGGTGGCGAGATTGTTTTCGTTGAACTCGGGGATTGAGATTGATGAAGACAAGCCTTATGCTGAGTTCTGGATGGGTACTCACGGTTCTGGACCATCGTTTGTGGTCCACAAAAGCGCCGACAATGGAGTGTTGAATGGTTCAAAGGGTGGGAATGTTAGTTTGAAGTCTTGGATTGAGAAGAACCCTCATGTGCTTGGTGATAAGGTTGTTGACAAGTGGGGCACTAATCTTCCTTTCTTGTTCAAGGTATACCAAAATTAATGGTGCTCAATTGTCAATATTATATGTGTGTGTATATATATACATATATGTATTCTTCTCTCAACAAATTTAGTTGAGTTTTTATCCATTCTAGTGATTGGTTTTTGCGGTTCCCTTACTGTTTTGGCCGCACTACTTCCCCTTTTTATCCTGGGGTATTGGGAATTCTTGATTTTATTAGGATTGGTGTAGATTTTGTGATGTTGAAATTTTACTGATTTGTTGTCCTACAATTTCATGGATTTCTGATTATTTAGCGTGTTTTAGGTTCTTTCAGTTGCAAAAGCATTGTCAATACAGGCTCATCCAGGTAAAAAACTGGCTGAGATTCTGCATAAGAAGCAGCCAGATGTCTATAAGGATGATAATCACAAACCAGAGATGGCTTTGGCACTAACAGAGTTTGGGGCGTTATGCGGGTTCATCAGTCTTGAGGTAATATACTCATCTTCATTTGATTTATTTTTTCTGGTAATTCAGTTAATTTCAGTGTTGTAATTGATAGAATAATGCGTGATAAGTAAGCGGGATTTGGGATGCAAGAAATTTTACTTTTTGCTTACCAACCTTTTCCTCCTTTTTTATATGATGTGTGGTTAAACCTTGTTCTAATTTTTTATTCAACATGCTTTTGGTGTTAAATAAGTTTGCCTTGAGTCCTTATTGGATTTGTGGTTTTTACAGCAAGAAGTTAATTTCCTGCTTTCTACCCGTTTTCATTAATTGTTTACATTATTGGTGGGAACTTTCTGAGTGGAAGAAAAAGTTTTTGTGCATCTGGACAGTGTTCTAGGCTCTAGCTAATGCAGTTGTGACATCGCCACTGTCCACTGACCTGCATTGAAGCCACGCTGCTCCCAGATTCCAAAAAAGCTGGTCATTGATGCCATAGTCACAACTTTTTTTTGAACAGTAATAGTCACAACCTAAGAAGCATGGACACGGATAGATATGACACGGATACGTCGACATGACATTTCTCAAAAAAGTAGGNCTGCTCCCAGATTCCAAAAAAGCTGGTCATTGATGCCATAGTCACAACTTTTTTTTTGAACAGTAATAGTCACAACCTAAGAAGCATGGACACGGATACGTCGACATGACATTTCTCAAAAAAGTAAGACACGTTGGGACACGCTACAAAAAATTATATTTTATAAATAACATTAATAGAATTTATTGTAAATATAGTGATAATGATATACAATTTATAAAAGATTCAGTATTTTATGATAAGTAAATCTTATGTGTAATCATCTATGTTGATTTTTGGACTGAAGCATCCTCTTAATAGTCAATAATCATCAATTTTTTTTGTAGACAATGTATACTTAATATATAATTTAAATAATCATCAATTTTTTTTGTAGACAATATATACTTAATATATAATTTAAATAATTAATCTTATTTTCTCAATTACTCTTTTTTAAAACTTTTATGTATCTTTTGTTTTTATTATTATATTTAGAGTACAACTTTAATATTTCTAGTGGTGGTAATTATATGTTCTCAAATTTTTAAGTTTTGTTAATCACATTTCAATACATGTTTATTGTTTAGTAGTAGACAAGTTCTAAAGAAGGGTCGGACGCGTGTCCAAAATTAAAATTTTATCATTTAATTATGGACACGTGTCACAACTGGATTGAGAGAATTCTTTTGAAAAATCACTGTTCTTATGTGTGGCTTGAGTGATTTGTTTTGCAATTGAAGTTTTCGTTTGAGTAGACTTGAGCTTTCCCCCCTCAGTACTCTGGTGCATGTAATGCATTAGGAATTTAAAGACTAATGGTCTATTACGGATTTCTAGTTTGCATATTAGTTGAAGAAACACTGTGCATGTTGAAGGCAATGTTTCCAACCGGATCCAGTTACTCAAAATAGGACAAACAGGATTATTGAATTGCATAAAATGGTTCTGGCTTTTCTTAAAAATAATACCAAATAAGGTTTGACCTAAAGTAACTTTAAATGAATGTATAAAATTGTTGGGATAGACCTAATGTTACTTATGAGATTATGGCACCTTTCACCCTAATGAGATTAACTTGGACGGATTTTTGTCGCNGTATAAAATTGTTGGGATAGACCTAATGTTACTTATGAGATTATGGCACCTTTCACACTAATGAGATTAACTTGGAGAGATTAACTTGGAGGGATTTTTGTCACNTGAATGTATAAAATTGTTGGGATAGACCTAATGTTACTTATGAGATTATGGCACCTTTCACCCTAATGAGATTAACTTGGACGGATTTTTGTCGCTGTTTCTAGGAGCTTAAGGGTGTTCTTCAAAAGGTTCCTGAGATTATAGAAGTGGTTGGCAGTGCATATGCAGACCAATTGTTGCATGACAATGAGAAAGATATGGAGGAGAAAGCAAAGCAACATCTGCAATCAATGTTCACTGAACTCATGTCAGCTAGCAACGATGTGATTTCTGAAGCATTATCCAAGCTCAGAAGTCGTCTGAACATGGAAACTAAGGTAGATTTCATCCTGTTTCTTATTCTGTCTCTAATCTTCTTTAAGTTTATTGTATTATTCCTATATATTTGTAGACAGTATAATGCTTGGAACACTCTGTGCATCATTTAGGAGAATTTGACTTTTGATGTTATCCAGCTTCTGTGAAAAGATATGCTTTATTTCTTTCTGCATGTACGGAGTATGTTGCCGTCACTTGCAATTGGATCTCCTCACCCATAAACTTAAATTTCAATGGGACCAGGAAGTTATGCTACTCTCTTTTGTCCGGTTCATTTTTTAATTAAAAATGCAGTTCTAGGCTATGCTCCTAAAGCCACCATCCGGGACGTGGCAATGTATATTTTGAGTCACTGAATAGGATTGAAGGCATCCATGATAATCATGTTTTGCAGTAATTTTTTTGGTTTAAGCATCGACAATTGTAAGAATGTAAAACAAATGGGGAAAAGTTTTATAGCTCGCATGCAAGTTCTAGCTCACGTGGTGTAGATATTTTTTAGATTGTAAACCAAAGAAATGCATTAATAATAAAAGTATGCTACAAAGGAGGACAAGTGGTCCTCAACTGTGAAATATGTATATACAAGAAAACAAAGGCAGCACAAAAAACCAAAATGCGTGCACTCAGACGCACAAAAGCACAATGAGAGTAATAATATAGATCTGAAACCCAACAGTTACAGCATGGTTCTGAATATTTTTGGCTACTTCCCCTTCTTTAGCTCGGCAAAAAAGTTTGAGTGCACGCATTTAATGCAGATAAGAAGTTTGGTGTATTTAAAATTTACATTGTGCTGCTTTTGATTTACTAAGAAAGAAAAACCTCTCTCTCATTTTCTTTGGCTCTTGAACCTTCATGTTCCGAGCTAGCTCTTTGGCTTCATTATATTTTTGTGTAATTTAATCGCCATGCCAATCAGAACCATCTCAATTGATGCTCACAGAACTTGGTAAGGTAACCATCAAAGGGCAGGTGTAAAAAAAGTTTATATTATGTTCTTTTATTGCTAAATAGTGCATACCTTTTGTACTTTCATTTTGATAATCCTATGATTCATTCTAGCATTACTGCACTGGGTTTAAGGTACTGGTTTATACAAGTTTTGCGGCAGCTAGAGAAACTGTATTGAACTGAATTTTTCACGCAAGGTAGTTGTACACTTGTAACATGGGCAGCAGAATCAGGTTACCCATCTCTGGCTGTGACTTCCATTTGTCTTCAAGTACATTGGGACAAGCTAGAGCAGTAATGACCCTCACTAGAACGGTGCACCAGCTCAATCAATGAGTGTTATCTCCTGTGACCAATGTGGAATATTTGTATGATTTGTCAGTACATCTTCCCACCCAAGCAAGGATGTCGATTTTTTACTGCACCAGTTGCTGAATCTTACTGCCTATACTTTTAACTTATAGGCTGGCATTTTCAAGGACCGCTTTTAGTGCATGGCGGTGTCATGGCAATGCCATGCGCATGACTGTTGTTAATTATAATCCAGGATAGTATGATGGATTTGTTACAGGACAATTTTGCTTAGATAAAGGATGTGCCAAGTGTTTAGTAGTTCTTTTGATGGTTGTATCATCACTATTGTGGAAGGGTTTCTGCATAATGAACTCATTAAGCATGTCCTTTCTAATAAAAGTGTTTTATTTTCATTCTCTCTTATCACAACTTCTCCTTTTTCACTTTGCTCAGGTGAGGCAGCTGACAGACAAGGAACAGTTAGTCTTGCATCTTGAAAAACAGTATCCAGCTGATGTTGGTGTCTTAGCAGCCTTTCTTTTTAATTTTGTGAAACTTAATCCTGGTGAAGCTCTGTATCTTGGGGCAAATGAACTTCATGCATATCTATATGGCGAGTGTATTGAATGCATGGCAACCTCAGACAATGTTGTCCGCGCTGGGCTTACTCCAAAGAATCGGGATGTTCAAATCCTCTGTTCTATGCTAACGTACAAACAGGTAAGGATAGCATGCAAAATTCTGGAAGAATGTCGTTGTTTAACTGGCATTATTGTTTGCATTCAGATAGCCAAAAATGAACCTGGTGATTTGTTACATATTTTTAGGGTGGTAACTAAATTTTGCCTTGATTGGCTTGTTGCATTACTTTGTTATCGTTTGGGTTTTTCCCAGATTGCATCAAAATTTCTAACTCAGTTTCTGTTGCAGGGGTTTCCAGAAATACTTCAAGGTTTGCCTTTAAATCCGTATACCACAAGATACCTCCCTCCTTTTGATGAATTTGAGGTTGACCGGTGCATTCTTCCCCAAGGTGCATCAGCTGTTTTTCCAGCAATCCCTGGTCCGTCCATATTTGTGGTCACGGTGGGAGAGGGAACAATGTGTACGGCGTCATTCAAAGATGATGTTACTGAAGGTGATGTACTATTTGCACCTGCCTACTGTGAGATTATTGTAAAATCGACATCTGAGGTGCACTTGTATAGAGCAGGAGTAAACAGCAGGTTTTTTTAGTCTTTTCAATATTGACACGGGCAACGTCTATCTGCAGCTGGGAAGTGAAATTGCTTTGATTTTACTTTGTTATGCTATGTACTGCTGCTATCTATAGTTCTGTGCCCATCAAGATCTGTACGGATATGTACTCGCAATATATGTAGCAAAAATATAGAAATAAGAGAATGTCTTTGAAAAGAAAATGCCTGGCTCAGTTTATTTGCTTCTTAGTAGACAAATTTTGATTCGAATTTAAAAACAAAAACTTTAGCCTGTGATCTATGTACACCAACATTTTTTCTAGGTTTTCCTTTCCTTTCCCGGCTATGGTATTTTGTCTCTTCCGTTTAAGGCATCCATTTGCATCAGTTCTCAAGGTGGCAGATTCCTGGGCTCAACTTACCCTTCACCGCGGCTACTGGACGCAGACCAATGGTGAAGGTGCCTCTTGACGTTGCAAGCTTTGCGTGCGATACGAATCCGACGATGAAAATTGTTTGGCTTGCATTTTAGAAACTACTTTATGAGAGAAATTGTTTGACCAATTTTTTCTTTTTGAAAAATTGAAACAAAAATTGGGTAGGTTTAAAAGAAATAGTTATAGTTATTTTGTGTTTTTGAAAAAAACTTTTTCAAAATTTAAAAAATACCACGTCCACCGCACCATTACCATCACATTTTTGTTCACATTATTTTTTGAATTAATGTTTAAACAAATTTTATTATTTTTTATTCTATAGAACTATTTTTAGAATCATATAATTAAATAAATTCTGGTACACAAAAACACTAAACATAAATTTTTAAAACTTATTTCAAAAATAATTTTTTGATATGCAAACAAAACATGCCCCAAGTTCCATAGTAGGCTTCTCTCTCTCTCTCTCTCTCTCTCTCTCTCTCTCTCCATCTATATATATATACGTCCTTGACAAAACTACCGAAGGGGAGGAAGACAATTTGTTTGCGTGATAAAAGAACAAACACTCTTGCCTTTCCATCGGAATGTAGAAAGCTATATTGCCACTTACTACCTGGACAAGAATAAGATTTGTAAGAAACACGATCACGTCTTGCAGTATTCGATTTGGGTTCATGTTCTCAACTCGAGAAACAGACAACCTCAAAAATGATGTTTCAAAGTCATCAAGGAAGCCCAAGTGAACATTTACAGATGCCTTGGTTTGTTTGGAGTCGATAAATTGCGGGCTGTTTGTCTAGGAGGTATTGGGGGGGGGGGGAAACTTTGGGCTAATCAGTCCAAAATTTCCTCAAATTTTCATGTTTGTTAAAAATTCAGTTTCGAGTTGTTAAAAATTCAGTTTCGAGTTTTCAAATCTTACCTGTAGTTGACCCGAAGATTAAAATCATGATCATAAATTTCGTCAAACCTATAAGAGGGTGGGTTTGAGAAGATAGATAAGGAGTTAAAGATCTAAAAGACAATTACACTCCTTAAAGTGAGTATAAATTATATTGATCAATGATAAAATAATTATTTAAAAAATAAATAATTGTTAATAATTATGATATATCCGTGAGTTCTATATGTGTACGTATTACATTCTAAATATGAATATGAATCGAATTAAATGTTAAATCTCATCTTTACAAAGTAAGATTTGAATTTAAAAAAATTTGGATAAATCAATCAAAACTCCTCAAAATTCATCCAAACAACTCGCCATCCCCACGGTCAGGGACTCAAGACAAGAATGGGACAGAATAGAGACATTGATCTTTCGTTTGGTACGTTAAAAAAATAAAAGAATAAAAAATTAGAGAAATATATAAGATATCATTTTATGTGTTTTGTATTTGTTAAAACAGGACTCGTGCACCATAGTGGCACAGTGCATAATATATAAGAACAATGCTACTGAAACTTAATTTATTAATTTATTGACCTAATTCACTATAACTTCTATCAAACATTAGAATTTAATGTTGATTCAATAATTTCACTAAAATCAGGTCAGTATGTCAACAAATTAAATTAAATTTTTAAATCCAAATAAAATTAGTCAATATATAAACTAATCACATATAAGATAAAATAATAAATTATGTATGTATATTATTTCCATCCTATTTTTTAAAAAAAAAAATATATCATTTCTACTTTATTGCAAAATAAAAAATATACCACTCTTACTTTCCATCCTTCTACTAAACAGAACATGAATGAATCTAACCATGCATGGAGCTAAAATTAGAAAAGCTATTTAGTCCTACGAGAAAAGGCTTTCTCCTCAAATCAGTGTATAGGAGTTTCTACAAATACAAATTCAAAAGCAGCAGAAAGGGCAAAAAAATCATAAAGGTTCCCAGCTTCACATGCAGAAGTTCATCAATTCCTATCTCACTCAAAATTTCTGGTAGCCCATAATAGGATTCAAGCAATGACAATCTTTAACACAAAAAACGGAAACAGTAATAGGAACAGAAAAGCATATGCGACCGCAGCTCTTAAGCCTCTGTCATCGGATATTCAAAGACAACATCTTTCCCAGAAAGCTTCCTGTAAACACCAGCGAATGTCTCTAGTTTGTACTCGGTATCATTCCGTGCTTTGGGATCCAAGAAAATCTGCCAATGCCAAGGAACATTATAAAGAACACAGTGGGAGAAGTATAACATTGATGAAACAAAGTGACAGGATGATATATTTTTTCCATTTTTCGGTTTAGAAAGGATGATATTTCCTGAGGATCCATTTTTCTAGATCCTCATCATAAAGGACTGGTAAATTACCTTGATGATTTTTGACCCATCAATCCTGTATCTGATGCGTTTTCCAACAATCTCAGCGGGATACACAACATCCTCAAGCATTGCATCATGAACAGCTGTAAGTGTACGAGAGCGAGGTCTTCGAACAGCAGAGCCTTTCTTAGGTGGGCGCAATATCCTTCGGGTGGCGATAAGAACCACATCCTACCAGTCATACAAGAGAGGTTGATAAAAGGTGTGGGTAGACGTGCCGAAGCACCACAAGGAAACAAAAATATTAAATCACAAGAATTATAATAAAAGCAGAGAGGGTTCAGCTCATCTCCCTTCATTAAATAGTCTCACCACATCAATAGCAGAGAGGAGAAAGAAGTCATTTAAATATTTAAAAAATGTTCTTTTGAAGCACAGTTTGTGAAATGTCCCCCTAAATTCACATAGCAAAATTGTACAAATGACTTTCAGGATTTTCCAACCACCACAATTAACCCTTTTTTTTATAGGACCACGAGAATTAACCCATTTTTTTCAATTATCCACATAAATTACTTTCCATGCTGAACAAACAATATGTCAAACAATACCTTTCCGCTGAACTTTTTCTCAAGTTCTCGTACAAGCCTAAGATGAATCTTGCGGAATGCTTTCCTCAATCTATAGGGAACGTGGATGACAACAGACTTGCGATTTCCAGACACATCAATTTGACTGCAGAGAGCAGAAAATAATATTATCATCCTGAGTAATCCACGCTCACAGAGAGATGACAAAATCAGGTTAGACATTCAAGCAGTACACTACTTACGCTGCTGAGTTGATGTAAAGGTCCTTTAAATCACTTTTAAGATCCTGGTTTGTGTTCTCCAAATCAAATAATGCCTGCACAGACATTAACAATATAAATATTGATTACATGATAATGCATTCCTGAGGAAATCTACAATATAATAAATATCTATATATCTGTATATGTTTCAATAACATCAGCAGCAATAGACCTGAGCAACAGTCTCCTCAAATTCAGTGGGTTCCACATCCTTATCCTTGTGGATCTTCTTCATTGAGGTATACATCTTGACAGATCTGATTGGTAAGCATTGCAAGTGTTAGCGCTAATAACAGTAAGAAACCCAAACATTCATTCTATTATTGAAAAATAGAGGTTCTCACTAATTTTTCATGTCAACATGCTCTAATTCCAAAATAATGAGAAAAATTTTGAAGGAATATGAATATGTAAATTAACATCTGCATTAATCGTAAATAAAAACCAAATTTCAACTTTAAAATGAAGGCATGCATTATATTAAATTCCAGACCAAAAAATTATCACATTTTCAAGGGCTCCTCAATGGAATGAGCCCAACCTTATATGACTACAAATAGAAGCTTTTCCACGTGTGCTACAACAGTTGCTGAAAAATGAGATACATTGCTAGGGGTCCAGTCATCCAAATGAGGATGCACAAGTGACGATGCAATCCATGCTTGCTTTAAATACATTTGTTAGAAACACACATATATATCAAGATGGAACACTTATTGAGAATCGTGAACCTAAAAGAAGGTTAACTAACAATTCTGCCATGTCTGGAGACCAAAGAACTAACCCTTAGCACATACCATTGCACTAGACAATTAAATGCAATGAATTCATATCCACACAATACTGAAGAGCACCCTACAACAACTCTAAATTATATATTTTCTGTAGCACTTACAATGTCTTGATTCTACCTACAGATTAAGCCCCCAAAGACATCAATTCTCCATCAAATCCATTATTATCAGTCATGTATAAGCACCTCTAACCAGTCACCGTCTTGTCCCAGTCACAAAATAAGTTTTCAAACGTTCGTCTTCTTTACCCTGATCGTGTAAACAAGCTGATTGATCGAACATTAGGTCTACATGTATACACATACACCACATAGACATACGCTCTTACAAAATACAATCGAAATGGACCATTTATACACTGCTTGACATCAGACAAAATGACGTGAATGGACACACAACACAGAATACAGATCCAAGTTTGAACCAAAAGCATGAATGGAGGATTCGAATTGATGGATTTGTAAGCAAAATACAAGTAAATAAAGACAACCACATGAAAAGAATGAAAACTACGATGACCACTGATTAAAGAGAACGGACCTTCAGTGAAGCGAAGATCTAGTTGATCTTGTGCAGAAGAGCCTTGCTTCAGCTTCGGAGGAGGTCACCGAGGGAGAGAGTGTGAAAGNAAAGGTTTTCGAGTGGTAGCAATGGAGGCTCAACTTCTGAAGTCATGCTTGAGCTTAGTGCCTTGGTTGAGGAGACGGGTTTTATCAGAAGTTGGGGTTAAACTAAAGGAAGAAATATTGTATGTTCATCCATACTGTTATAACTTAAAATCCAAACAAAGAGAGAATGTGTGTGCTTGCTGCTAGAAATGGTAAAAAAACCCTGTAAAATTCTCATGATTCCCATGAATGATAACTCTCATTCAGTCAGATTGATCCATGTTTATAATCTTCCCAAGGAGTACAAATTCATTGTTTCAGTATTAATGAATGCTGCTGTTGGTTTTCTCCACACTCTTGGTTAGTGCTTTTGTGATGAAATGAGTAAGAATTCCAATAGGACAAAAAAGAAGGCACAGAGAAACGGAATGCCGGGTCTNCAGGAGATGTTAAACCCTAATTTTTTGGACGGCTGGGATTGAGTGAGGCATTGTTTTGATGAATTGGCATATGGACAGCTGCAATGTCACCCGACCTGACCCGATTGTTCGCCCGGCCAAATATTACTAACTTGGGCAATTTGGGTTTGCCACGTCACCTCGCAGTAAAATATTTTTACCTTGATATAGTTCATGTTAGTTTTATGAGATTAATATAAGATTTGAGTTCATTATTTTAATACTAATATCATAATTGTATGCAGGGGCAGAGCCAGACCATTTCTTCAATGGGGGCAACATAAAATTCCTTAATAACTTTAAATATTTTTTTTANATTCCAATAGGACAAAAAAGAAGGCACAGAGAAACGGAATGCCGGGTCTCGATTTTGTTATCCAATCCATCTTGAAAAATCTGCCTGGATGAACAAGGAAATGCAAGTGTTAGAAACTACCCATGCACACGTAGTCAGACACACACATGTGCGCACAGGGAGAGAGAGAGACCTTGCAGCAAAGAGGTCTACGGCCAGTAGGTGAATCCATGCAGAAGCCAGTGTGATCTCACTGGAGAACATCTTAGNAATAAATTACAAAATAAATCATAAGTAACAAAATAAATTGAGAAATTTTAATAGCAGTAATTTAGAAAAATTATTTCTATTACAACTCTGTTAAGTCGAACTTAGATATAGAAACAATCTGAGTTATAATAATCAAATTTTAAGAGGGGATTCACTGTTTCTGAATTGCAACATGAACTTCAACTATATCTCTAATTCACAAACAAATGACTGCTATACACTGAAATCATCGATAAATTCATTTTGCACTGTCTAATATCCAAATAAATCAACACTACAACTAATATTCCAAAGATATAAAAAATCAACTGTGTGAATCATCATTGTTCAATTCAAATATAGATAATTGCAGTTCTATCATCCACTGTTAGGTAAAAAATGAAATGGGTAATCAAATTGGTAGAAGTCCATATCGCAATGCCAAAAATTACAAAAAATTTTGAAATCAAAGAAATTGTGCATGAGTTACCTCTTGCATGATAGCTCTCATACAATTTTCTAAGCTCTCAATAATTTTTGTAATCAATTAGTTAAATAATGATCGAATCGATAATAAAAAAAAGAGACGACTGACGATAAAGAAAACATAAAAAAGAAACAAAGGTACACTAAAGAGAACAAAACTCGGTTGAAGAGAGGAACTTCCAATTCACAACAGGAATGACACGAGGGCCAAAGAAAGAAAGAAATGAAGTCTAAAGAGATGAATGAAAAGTCGAGACTAGGAGACAAGAAGTATTTTCCTAATCTAATGTTATGTTTTTATAAAACACACTCACGTGTTCTCCTAATATATAGAACTATATCTCCTAATATATATAACTATATTTATAACTTTTCAGTGGGAGCAATTTGTAAAAATATTCAAAAATTTTAAAATACTACCTAGGCTCCAAAATTTTTTAAAATTTTAGTGGAAGCAACTACCCCCCTTTGAATCCGCGGTTGTTTGTATGAGGTATTAGTGTCTAGTATTAAGTTCAAAAAGACAAAAACTCCTTAAATGACTATTGAATTAAGAGCAATGTTACAAAATCTAAAAAATTACAACTCAAATGCATATCAACTCTTGATTGAGTGAGTTCTATCAATTTTTTAGTGAGGCCCACTCTTTACACACTCATTTAAGAGATGATATGTATTTGAGTTTTAATTTTTAGGTTTCATTTTGGTTATGTAGCATTTTCCTTGAATTAATTTAGTTTGATTACATCTTTTAATACCCCAAACAAACATGCAATTTGGGTTTAGGTTTGGGTTTGGGTTTGCGTTGGATCAAGGATTAAAATTTTGTTTCGAAAAAGTCAAAATATTTTGTTTCTAAAGAAACTGACACGAATCACTGATGAAATCAAAATTTCTTCAAGATGTTTTGTAATATTTCAATGCATTTACATAATTGTTTTGAAATATTTTCAAAGTGTTTTAAGATATTTTGATATATTTTGACTAATATTTTGAAAAAATAATTTTCAAACTTTTTATTCATTACCGTTTTATTTTCGAAACAGGTTAAAACGTTTTCAAAATGTATCCAAATATTTTTATTTTCTAGATCACTGAAATAAAATTTTGGGACCCGTTATTTGAAGTACAAATAATTTTCCTTTTCCTGCATGCAAATTTAAAAATAAAAATAGAGATTTCCCAACTTCATATTTTCTCGGGCAAAGTTATTGGACACAGTTGTTGCAGAAACTTTGATTTGTTTAGTCCTAGTTGTTACTGCGATTGCTGCAAGAAACTGGAGTGTCAATTTTATCCATTTATACAAATCCAACACGACATTATACAAAACTCAAAAATAACACAATTAATTGACACAACTAATAAATGAATCAAATTAAAGTTCAATACGAATATCACAATTAACGGGTACTGTAAATAGAACATAAATATTTAACGAGTATCATAGACATAAAATAAGAATTTTATAATTTTTTAAATAGCATTACATGAGTTGTTGTACATGTAAATAATTTTTTATTCACGAATCCGACACGTATCAAAAATGACCTAACATGGAAAAAAAAGACCAAAAATGACACGACACCAAAGCAATGCAATTGACACCCTCCACGGAACCAATATGACCACAAAAAATATTTGGACTGGTAATCACTTCAGAAATAGTTGATTCAGTGTAGAACAAAGTGCCGGTTCAGTGTTTAATAAGCCATCTGATCAGATGGCCTTGGCGGCAGAGATGATTGAAAGAGTTGGATTGAAAGGTTTTCGAGTGGTAGCAATGGAGGCTCAACTTCTGAAGTCATGCTTGAGCTTAGTGCCTTGGTTGAGGAGACGGGTTTTATCAGAAGTTGGGGTTAAACTAAAGGAAGAAATATTGTATGTTCATCCATACTGTTATAACTTAAAATCCAAACAAAGAGAGAATGTGTGTGCTTGCTGCTAGAAATGGAAAAAAAACCCTGTAAAATTCTCATGATTCCCATGAATGATAACTCTCATTCAGTCAGATTGATCCATGTTTATAATCTTCCCAAGGAGTACAAATTCATTGTTTCAGTATTAATGAATGCTGCTGTTGGTTTTCTCCACACTCTTGGTTAGTGCTTTTGTGATGAAATGAGTAAGAATTCCAATAGGACAAAAAAGAAGGCACAGAGAAACGGAATGCCGGGTCTCGATTTTGTTATCCAATCCATCTTGAAAAATCTGCCTGGATGAACAAGGAAATGAAAGTGTTAGAAACTACCCATGCACACGTAGTCAGACACACACATGTGCGCACAGAGAGAGAGAGAGGCCTTGCAGCAAAGAGGTCTACGGCCAGTAGGTGAATCCATGCAGAAGCCAATGTGATCTCACTGGAGAACATCTTGGCTATGCCAGACAGCTGCACAAGTACAGGAAGAGGGAAAATGTCAAATGGAACTCATCAGTAGCTTCTCAAAGCTAACTGTTGAATCCTTTCACAAGGAAGAAAAGCATGAAACACACATGCTAGTTTCGCACACACCTCAGGCAGCCAGTATTTACTTGCGAACATCAGCCTTATTGTGTCAGGTGTCCAAGAGAGGTACAATAGATATGCATACAAAAGTCCAAGCACAAGATATGGAACACTACTTTCCATGGTTTTCTTAGTCTGCATTAAGAATAATGCAAACGAATCAGGTGCACCACTTAAATGCAAGGAAACGCTTTTAATGTCCAAAATATGTCATTCATTGACATTACAGTGCTGATTTCGAGGATTCTGAAACCATTAACAAATCAAAGTTTCAGAATTCAGAAACAATCTCTCATAATTTTTGAATAAGTATGTCTTAATGAAGTGCCAAGGATGTCATTCATCAAATTTTCACAACTAAAAGGAAAAAATGTCGCAAGAGAACAATTCAGAAACACAAAAAGAAAACTAATANCTCAATAATTTTTGTAATCAATTAGTTAAATAATGATCGAATCGATAATAAAAAAAAGAGACGACTGACGATAAAGAAAACATAAAAAAGAAACAAAGGTACACTAAAGAGAACAAAACTCGGTTGAAGAGAGGAACTTCCAATTCACAACAGGAATGACATGAGGGCCAAAGAAAGAAAGAAATGAAGTCTAAAGAGATGAATGAAAAGTCGAGACTAGGAGACAAGAAGTATTTTCCTAATCTAATGTTATGTTTTTATAAAACACACTCACGTGTTCTCCTAATATATAGAACTATATCTCCTAATATATATAACTATATTTATAACTTTTCAGTGGGAGCAATTTGTAAAAATATTCAAAAATTTTAAAATACTACCTAGGCTCCAAAATTTTTTAAAATTTTAGTGGAAGCAACTACCCCCCTTTGAATCCGCGGTTGTTTGTATGAGGTATTAGTGTCTAGTATTAAGTTCAAAAAGACAAAAACTCCTTAAATGACTATTGAATTAAGAGCAATGTTACAAAATCTAAAAAATTACAACTCAAATGCATATCAACTCTTGATTGAGTGAGTTCTATCAATTTTTTAGTGAGGCCCACTCTTTACACACTCATTTAAGAGATGATATGTATTTGAGTTTTAATTTTTAGGTTTCATTTTGGTTATGTAGCATTTTCCTTGAATTAATTTAGTTTGATTACATCTTTTAATACCCCAAACAAACATGCAATTTGGGTTTAGGTTTGGGTTTGGGTTTGCGTTGGATCAAGGATTAAAATTTTGTTTCGAAAAAGTCAAAATATTTTGTTTCTAAAGAAACTGACACGAATCACTGATGAAATCAAAATTTCTTCAAGATGTTTTGTAATATTTCAATGCATTTACATAATTGTTTTGAAATATTTTCAAAGTGTTTTAAGATATTTTGATATATTTTGACTAATATTTTGAAAAAATAATTTTCAAACTTTTTATTCATTACCGTTTTATTTTCGAAACAGGTTAAAACGTTTTCAAAATGTATCCAAATATTTTTATTTTCTAGATCACTGAAATAAAATTTTGGGACCCGTTATTTGAAGTACAAATAATTTTCCTTTTCCTGCATGCAAATTTAAAAATAAAAATAGAGATTTCCCAACTTCATATTTTCTCGGGCAAAGTTATTGGACACAGTTGTTGCAGAAACTTTGATTTGTTTAGTCCTAGTTGTTACTGCGATTGCTGCAAGAAACTGGAGTGTCAATTTTATCCATTTATACAAATCCAACACGACATTATACAAAACTCAAAAATAACACAATTAATTGACACAACTAATAAATGAATCAAATTAAAGTTCAATACGAATATCACAATTAACGGGTACTGTAAATAGAACATAAATATTTAACGAGTATCATAGACATAAAATAAGAATTTTATAATTTTTTAAATAGCATTACATGAGTTGTTGTACATGTAAATAATTTTTTATTCACGAATCCGACACGTATCAAAAATGACCTAACATTGAAAAAAAAGACCAAAAATGACACGACACCAAAGCAATGCAATTGACACCCTCCACGGAACCAATATGACCATAAAAAATATTTGGACTGGTAATCACTTCAGAAATAGTTGATTCAGTGTAGAACAAAGTGCCGGTTCAGTGTTTAATAAGCCATCTGATCAGATGGCCTTGGCGGCAGAGATGATTGAAAGAGTTGGATTGAAAGGTTTTCGAGTGGTAGCAATGGAGGCTCAACTTCTGAAGTCATGCTTGAGCTTAGTGCCTTGGTTGAGGAGACGGGTTTTATCAGAAGTTGGGGTTAAACTAAAGGAAGAAATATTGTATGTTCATCCATACTGTTATAACTTAAAATCCAAACAAAGAGAGAATGTGTGTGCTTGCTGCTAGAAATGGAAAAAAAACCCTGTAAAATTCTCATGATTCCCATGAATGATAACTCTCATTCAGTCAGATTGATCCATGTTTATAATCTTCCCAAGGAGTACAAATTCATTGTTTCAGTATTAATGAATGCTGCTGTTGGTTTTCTCCACACTCTTGGTTAGTGCTTTTGTGATGAAATGAGTAAGAATTCCAATAGGACAAAAAAGAAGGCACAGAGAAACGGAATGCCGGGTCTCGATTTTGTTATCCAATCCATCTTGAAAAATCTGCCTGGATGAACAAGGAAATGAAAGTGTTAGAAACTACCCATGCACACGTAGTCAGACACACACATGTGCGCACAGAGAGAGAGAGAGGCCTTGCAGCAAAGAGGTCTACGGCCAGCAGGTGAATCCATGCAGAAGCCAATGTGATCTCACTGGAGAACATCTTGGCTATGCCAGACAGCTGCACAAGTACAGGAAGAGGGAAAATGTCAAATGGAACTCATCAGTAGCTTCTCAAAGCTAACTGTTGAATCCTTTCACAAGGAAGAAAAGCATGAAACACACATGCTAGTTTCGCACACACCTCAGGCAGCCAGTATTTACTTGCGAACATCAGCCGTATTGTGTCAGGTGTCCAAGAGAGGTACAATAGATATGCATACAAAAGTCCAAGCACAAGATATGGAACACTACTTTCCATGGTTTTCTTAGTCTGCATTAAGAATAATGCAAACGAATCAGGTGCACCACTTAAATACAAGGAAACGCTTTTAATGTCCAAAATATGTCATTCATTGACATTACAGTGCTGATTTCGAGGATTCTGAAACCATTAACAAATCAAAGTTTCAGAATTCAGAAACAATCTCTCATAATTTTTGAATAAGTATGTCTTAATGAAGTGCCAAGGATGTCATTCATCAAATTTTCACAACTAATAGGAAAAAATGTCGCAAGAGAACAATTCAGAAACACAAAAAGAAAACTAATAAAAGGAGAGAGATTGAAAACATGACAAGCAGTATACCTTATAAGAAGGGAACTGTTGTGTACTGCAACGCCACATTTAACTAAGTTAATGTAATGACAGGCGTCAACAGAGAATAGGAGAAATACTGGATTTCTAAACAACTTTAAGTTAGAAAATTTGAGTCAACACAGTGGAAGTATAGAATTAACAGGAAACCTTACCAGTTCAGCTTTTGGAGCCAGAACCATGAGGGTGTAGAATGGAAGAACAGCTGCAGTTCCCAAAGTAAAAACACTACTAGCAATTTGGGAACTTGCCAACCCTGAAGAGGAACAGAAAATAGAGACCAAGTTAATTACATAACAATAATTAGACGCCAAAATGTTGCTTCTGTTGCAGTATAAAAATGAGAAGCATTGTAAGTTTTTGATGTACCTAAATTCTCTAAGCGTGTCAGACTCAAAATTATTGTTTTCTAAGGCACAATAGCTAAATCTAAGAATTCAGAACTCTTAGTTTCATAAGTATAGAATATTGTTGATACATTTAAGGCATCCACATCCATTCCTAAGTTCAGAGACTGATTACACCAAGAAAGCCATGTGCACACATCATTCACAATAAGCAAAATTTTAATAATGATGAAGAAAAAGAGGAGAAAATGGATAAAATAAGTTGGAAATGGGATACCCTTTTTGACAAAATAAAACAGGATCAGTGAAACAACCACTTTAGCATGCCGAAAACAGGGTATCATCTATCAAATGAAATAAAAGTCAAGCAGGGCTTCATCGTGCAGCCTCCCACAACATTTGCACGGCAAAGATACTACTAGAGCACCAGGTCAACGGAGGAAAGAACTGATGCATCTAAGGCATTCAATCTTCTGTTTGGTTTAATCCCTAATAAATGCCTGCCGAGTCGGCTTGAGGTGAAAAGCAATAACAATACATCAAGCNCAATGCATTTACATAATTGTTTTGAAATATTTTCAAAGTGTTTTAAGATATTTTGATATATTTTGACTAATATTTTGAAAAAATAATTTTCAAACTTTTTATTCATTACCGTTTTATTTTCGAAACAGGTTAAAACGTTTTCAAAATGTATCCAAATATTTTTATTTTCTAGATCACTGAAATAAAATTTTGGGACCCGTTATTTGAAGTACAAATAATTTTCCTTTTCCTGCATGCAAATTTAAAAATAAAAATAGAGATTTCCCAACTTCATATTTTCTCGGGCAAAGTTATTGGACACAGTTGTTGCAGAAACTTTGATTTGTTTAGTCCTAGTTGTTACTGCGATTGCTGCAAGAAACTGGAGTGTCAATTTTATCCATTTATACAAATCCAACACGACATTATACAAAACTCAAAAATAACATAATTAATTGACACAACTAATAAATGAATCAAATTAAAGTTCAATACGAATATCACAATTAACGGGTACTGTAAATAGAACATAAATATTTAACGAGTATCATAGACATAAAATAAGAATTTTATAATTTTTTAAATAGCATTACATGAGTTGTTGTACATGTAAATAATTTTTTATTCACGAATCCGACACGTATCAAAAATGACCTAACATTGAAAAAAAAGACCAAAAATGACACGACACCAAAGCAATGCAATTGACACCCTCCACGGAACCAATATGACCATAAAAAATATTTGGACTGGTAATCACTTCAGAAATAGTTGATTCAGTGTAGAACAAAGTGCCGGTTCAGTGTTTAATAAGCCATCTGATCAGATGGCCTTGGCGGCAGAGATGATTGAAAGAGTTGGATTGAAAGGTTTTCGAGTGGTAGCAATGGAGGCTCAACTTCTGAAGTCATGCTTGAGCTTAGTGCCTTGGTTGAGGAGACGNCCAGGTCAACGGAGGAAAGAACTGATGCATCTAAGGCATTCAATCTTCTGTTTGGTTTAATCCCTAATAAATGCCTGCCGAGTCGGCTTGAGGTGAAAAGCAATAACAATACATCAAGCATCAACAGAAATGTATGACACATTAACTAAGTGAATGTTGGAAGGGAATAAGACATGGTAGCTTTCAGTAGTTTCTGGCACCTTGACAACCACTTAAACAGGAAATCCATATTGGACAGACAACGATCGTAAATGAAATTTTGGTATTAGTTATTAGCTTAATACTTTTCGTGTCTCATATATTCCAATTGGTTATTGTTCTGTCTGTTGTAATACTTCAACTGTTTAAAAATCCTTGCCTATAAATGCTTAAAATATGGAACGTTTTCAAAACATTTTCAGCTTTTTTTCTAGCATCCCTTTATTTTAGTTTCTGATGTTAAAAGTTAAGAATAGAAGGCTCCACTTCACATCAGACGNTTAAATACAAGGAAACGCTTTTAATGTCCAAAATATGTCATTCATTGACATTACAGTGCTGATTTCGAGGATTCTGAAACCATTAACAAATCAAAGTTTCAGAATTCAGAAACAATCTCTCATAATTTTTGAATAAGTATGTCTTAATGAAGTGCCAAGGATGTCATTCATCAAATTTTCACAACTAATAGGAAAAAATGTCGCAAGAGAACAATTCAGAAACACAAAAAGAAAACTAATAAAAGGAGAGAGATTGAAAACATGACAAGCAGTATACCTTATAAGAAGGGAACTGTTGTGTACTGCAACGCCACATTTAACTAAGTTAATGTAATGACAGGCGTCAACAGAGAATAGGAGAAATACTGGATTTCTAAACAACTTTAAGTTAGAAAATTTGAGTCAACACAGTGGAAGTATAGAATAAACAGGAAACCTTACCAGTTCAGCTTTTGGAGCCAGAACCATGAGGGTGTAGAATGGAAGAACAGCTGCAGTTCCCAAAGTAAAAACACTACTAGCAATTTGGGAACTTGCCAACCCTGAAGAGGAACAGAAAATAGAGACCAAGTTAATTACATAACAATAATTAGACGCCAAAATGTTGCTTCTGTTGCAGTATAAAAATGAGAAGCATTGTAAGTTTTTGATGTACCTAAATTCTCTAAGCGTGTCAGACTCAAAATTATTGTTTTCTAAGGCACAATAGCTAAATCTAAGGATTCAGAACTGTTAGTTTCATAAGTATAGAATATTGTTGATACATTTAAGGCATCCACATCCATTCCTAAGTTCAGAGACTGATTACACCAAGAAAGCCATGTGCACACATCATTCACAATAAGCAAAATTTTAAAAATGATGAAGAAAAAGAGGAGAAAATGGATAAAATAAGTTGGAAATGGGATACCCTTTTTGACAAAATAAAACAGGATCAGTGAAACAACCACTTTAGCATGCCGAAAACAGGGTATCATCTATCAAATGAAATAAAAGTCAAGCAGGGCTTCATCGTGCAGCCTCCCACAACATTTGCACGGCAAAGATACTACTAGAGCACCAGGTCAACGGAGGAAAGAACTGATGCATCTAAGGCATTCAATCTTCTGTTTGGTTTAATCCCTAATAAATGCCTGCCGAGTCGGCTTGAGGTGAAAAGCAATAACAATACATCAAGCATCAACAGAAATGTATGACACATTAACTAAGTGAATGTTGGAAGGGAATAAGACTTGGTAGCTTTCAGTAGTTTCTGGCACCTTGACAACCACTTAAACAGGAAATCCATATTGGACAGACAACGATCGTAAATGAAATTTTGGTATTAGTTATTAGCTTAATACTTTTCGTGTCTCATATATTCCAATTGGTTATTGTTCTGTCTGTTGTAATACTTCAACTGTTTAAAAATCCTTGTCTATAAATGCTTAAAATATGGAACGTTTTCAAAACATTTTCAGCTTTTTTTTCTAGCATCCCTTTATTTTAGTTTCTGATGTTAAAAGTTAAGAATAGAAGGCTCCACTTCACATCAGACGAGGTCTTAAATTCTTTCCAGCGGCTCCCCCTCTTAGAAACAAAGAAGTTATGGAATGAAAGTAGCTAAGTTCACTGTTGACGGTCAGAATTTTTAGCAATAAGTATAAATTAATTGCTCTAGATTCCCACAGAATGAAAGCTAAATGAATAACTAGCAGAATAAATGACATGAAAGGATTACATGAAGCATGAACTCCAGAGCTTTTTCTGCGAAGAACAAAACTTTCTGGGTTTGATCCTCCCATGAAACTACAGCCACTGTCCAGTTTGCCTCCCATTCCCGCAACACGCTGGCCAAAAATTTCAGTGTTCATAGCTTTAAGGGAAAAGGTGGATGCGTGATCCATTCTGAAATTACACCAAGGTGTAGTAGCCAACCATGATCGGTCAATCTACAAGAAGTAGGCCCCAAAATGTAAGGACAGCTATGAAGTAGACTGGTGGATAAATTTATTAGTCCAAGGAAAAGGCCATATGTTTAAGAACTAGGTTTTATATGTTTGTACATGTGTGTGTGTGTGTGTGTGAATCAGAAGAACAAGGTATACATGCGTCAGCTGCTTGACCCATTACATAGCTTCATAATGCTCATAGAAGTCCCCCAGAAGTTTTCGTCCACTACAACTATGCGACAGTGAAATTTTAGGAATTTCATGCAACCGGTGCCATCTAGTATTTAGGCGAAAAAATCTAGTGATCAAGGTAAGGGCTAAGTCAAAAGAAATGCACCTAAGCCACTGGGATTANGACCCATTACATAGCTTCATAATGCTCATAGAAGTCCCCCAGAAGTTTTCGTCCACTACAACTATGCGACAGTGAAATTTTAGGAATTTCATGCAACCGGTGCCATCTAGTATTTAGGCGAAAAAGTCTAGTGATCAAGGTAAGGGCTAAGTCAAAAGAAATGCACCTAAGCCACTGGGATGAGGATCCACTGCTACAATTCTTGGACAGCATGGATAAACAAGGGAAGTAAATCCAGCTACTATAGGCAATAATTGAAAGGAAACACATACATTATTTTGATAATTCAAGCTTTCCCCTTTTATTACAAGGAATCCTGCATGTTTCATGCTTAAAAAATCCAATCAAATTCAACAAGCTTACAGAGTCACCTATTACTTTGAATCAACAATTCAATAGAGAAAACTAAAAAGAATGACAAGAAAATGATGATTGATACTACACGCAATGATAACTACAACCTTAANTAATTCAAGCTTTCCCCTTTTATTACAAGGAATCCTGCATGTTTCATGCTTAAAAAGTCCAATCAAATTCAACAAGCTTACAGAGTCGCCTATTACTTTGAATCAACAATTCAATAGAGAAAACTAGAAAGAATGACAAGAAAATGATGATTGATACTACACGCAATGATAACTACAACCTTCAAAATTCAAAAGGGCACCCATATCAGCCTGCGATCTACCAAAACCTTAAGTCAGACAAATTGTCAAAACGATAGAGTTCAACTTATGCTAAATACCCCAATCAGAAAAAAGCATTTAAGTCTTCAATTTTGCTCTAAAATAATCCATTTAAAATTAGATAACCAACATCTGAAACAAATCAAGAATACCCAGATGAAGAAACGAAACAAAATTTCAAAGACCCTTTAGTAAACACACAAACAGATGTAAAGCAATACCTTGAGTGGGATGTGAGAGGAGCAAAGGCAATAAGAGAAGGTCATACTTGGTATGAATCTAGGAGACTAAACAACAATGGCCTCTTCATTCGCTTATTATACCCGATTGATAGACAAGAAATCGTGGATGAAGAACGGAATACAGAGAGGCAGCAGCTTCTGAGTGGAAAGCAGAGAGGGTGGTCATGGTCGGTCAATCCGCACTTAAGACAGTGAAAGTACCACTAATAAATAAAAGACTTCGGCCAAATCCAACCCAACAACGTCATTGGATAGAAAGTTTGCTTGATTTCTCCCTTCTCGACAGTGTACCTATGTGAGGTTTGTCCACATGGCCAACATGCGGAGTGTTTGATTATGGCCTCATCTGTAGACAGCGGTGACTACTGGCGAGGCATTGGTCTAATCTCATCCAATGAGATTGCATCGGGATACATGAGCTACGACAGCTTGGCAAGATTCTAAACCCGCTGCCCTTGGGTTAAATTTTGGCTTTGATCCATAAATTCGGTGTGAGATGGATACGAAATTAATTAATTTAAATTTAATTTTTATATGTTTGAATTATAAATGGATGATCTAGCTAGAATTATTAACTAAAACGGGTAGACAAAAACTTGAGTGTAGACATAACTTTTATTTTATTTAATATGGGTCAAATCTTACACCGGAGTTTTAATCTTTGTGATTTTAGGTTGTCCAATGTAGTGTGTATTCGACACTCCCTCACTTTCTTACTCTCATTTTTTAAAATGGTTTGAACACACACAATCTTATTTGTCTTGACTTACCATGGTAAACAAATGAAGTGAGCTAATTACTGTGTTAAAATGTCACCGTATTGGAAAAAAAAAATTGGGACCCCATTGTCGTATATAACTTTTAAAGATTTTTTGTTCAACTTTTTACGATCATTTACAACTTTTGAGATTTTTTTTATCAATGTGTTAGAACCGATTGGAAACCCCAAAAAATTTATCAATGTGCTAGAACCCATTACAAACCCCAAAAAATTGTAACTTGACACTCGTGCCATTGAGCATGTTTTCCTTTGACAAGAAGTAGCCTATAGGGTCATAGACGATTCTTCAGGTCACAGTTGAAGATGGCAAAATTTGGTTATGATAGGGAACTCTGTTGATCTTTGCGAGACATGGAACAGAATGAGAAGGTGAATGCATTTGGATTCTTTTGTATAAGCTGCGTATTTTTATGTTTCTACTCTGGACATCACCACTGCTGCAATCCCCAACTTCAATCCAACAGCCACATTTAAGATTAATAATCGAATCAAGTCTGTCGAACTTGTTTTTTTAAACGAGTTTAAAAAATCATTCAAGCTCGATTTGTTACAAATCGAGCCCGAATAGTTCGACTCAATTATCGGTCCTATCCACATATAGCCGTCAAGAAACTTACCAACACAAACTTGAACTCAGTCAAAAGTACCCATATTGCAGCATAAATCTAAATAAATATGGCAACACTGTTTATATGAGATACAACTATTGTGTTCCAATGAATACAAAGCTCAGATGCCATCACCAGTTTGATTGTATGCATGACATTCTTTTCCTCTCTTTACAAAAAATAAAAATAAAAATACAAGTTTCCGTTTGTAGTTTTTATNTTTTCCTCTCTTTACAAAAAATAAAAATAAAAATACAAGTTTCCGTTTGTATCGGCAGGGTTAGCAAATAACCAGAATGAATGAATGTCAAGAATGTAGATTTTAAGTATGCTCATCAAGCCATGAAATGATATCACCAAAAACTGTGAGTATCATCTCATCGGGCTCACCATCGAGAAGGGAATGATAAGCATCGNCAAGAATGTAGATTTTAAGTATGCTCATCAAGCCATGAAATGATATCACCAAAAACAGTGAGTATCATCTCATCGGGCTCACCATCGAGAAGGGAATGATAAGCATTGTCGTAAAGATTAAGTTTCTTGTCTGAATTGCTTGCCTTCTCATACAAAGCCTTGCTTACAGATGGATCTGTCACTATATCAGCCTTACCGTGCAAGATCAGTAATGGCAGAGAGACCTGCAAAATCATGGAGCCCCGAGTCACTTCATATTGATTCGATATTAAATATCATCCAGTATTGGGTTGTTTGTTAGAACAATATATATTTATGAATGTAACAGACTCAATTCCTTTGTGCTCAGTAACTTGTCAATTAACTTAATTACAACTCTGTCGGAAGCCTTCAACAGGATTAAAAACCTCACTAAATATTAAGAAACTGATATATAACACTGCATTCACCCATGCACACAACACGCATAGAGAGAGCTCATCAAGCTATCTCCTCTACAATTGAGGTCCAACTTGGTCAGGGTACTTCGGCAGAGAGGCCAAAATCAGAGCAATTTTGAGTAGCTTATACCAAATACCAACTAAACAAGCCACAGAACAACTATCTTAGCATGCACCAAGTCTCCAGGAAATTGCTACATGGCTGAGTACTAAAATAACTTGGCACTGATGATGTCTGTTCGCATCTAGTGACAATTAGCTAAGTGGCTAACTGCTGATGCTACCGGTTGAATGAAAGATAATAAATCTTAGGAAGTCAAGAAATCATCTTAGATAAGGGAATCACAAGACAGTTTACTGATAAAGTTCCTTACAAACACTATATATAGTTGTAACTCAGGCATCCCAGACTTCCTCATCTGCCAAAAACTCATATACAAATGAGCTCCTTTACACATAACAGTTCACATTGTCGAGATAGATACACCCTATGCAATAGTCGACAGTCAGAGTAAACTTCTTATTCAGTGCTTGTCAGTTTTACAGACTTTTCTTTAGGACAGTGTCACTTTCCTTTGCCCTTGGTTCTGGTCCTGGACCTCCTGAACCATCAAGCATCAGGATATTTAACTATAGACGAGCTCAGGTTGATGTGGCAATTACAATGAACTAAACCTAATTTTCTTAGGTTCTCAGGTCAACAATTAATTAATCCATGAAAGAGGGCATCCACATCTTGGAGAAATAGAATCTAACACAACAGGTAAATTATTTTTCCTTGGACCCTTCCCCTTGAAAATTTTCATGGATCCTTTCTCTCTTCATGTTGAGTTCTATATTCAAAACACCATACATTTTTTCATATTAATTTATGTTTTTAAGTACCTATTTGGGCCANTTCCCCTTGAAAATTTTCATGGATCCTTTCTCTCTTCATGTTGAGTTCTATATTCAGAACACCATACATTTTTTCATATTAATTTATGTTTTTAAGTACCTATTTGGGCTAAACCCAACTGAAAATAGAAAATGTTTCAGAGGTCTGATAGAGCATTTGGAGTACATTGGCCACCATGGATTTTATTTTCCAATAAACCTGAGATTCTCCCAGTGTCCAACTATATCTTCTAAAAACAGAAATACAAGAAACCCAGACAGTCAGATTTAGGATAAAGTAACAGCGTGCCAATAAAATAGAGCTGAACAAAATCTGCTGAAGGGGATAAAAAAGGATTTGTGGCCATTTCTACGAGGAAACAAATGAGAAGTCAGGGAACTCACATTTTCCAGTTCATGTTCAATCTCTTGGGTGGTTCTGAGTAGCTCCACAGCAGTTCCCAAACGCGGTTTTTGCTTGTAAGCAATAACATTGTAGGCAGTCTGCATTTAGAAGAGAACTGAAACTTTGGGGAAACTTNGTTCTGAGTAGCTCCACAGCAGTTCCCAAACGCGGTTTTTGCTTGTAAGCAATAACGTTGTAGGCAGTCTGCATTTAGAAGAGAACTGAAACTTTGGGGAAACTTATTCACATAGGAAGCTATAAGCACGTAAAATCACACCAATAAAACAGTAGTTTTTGGCAGGGAGAGGCAACCCATCCTTACACCACAATAAAACACTTACCTTCATCTTCTTGTTACAACTCAAGACAACATCATATTCATCCTTAATTTGTTAAAGACAAAGAAAGAAACAAACCAGTTCTCTCTTCTTCGGGTCTCTGAATGCCGCTTCAGCAATATCCTTTTGTGGAACTAGCTTCTGCTTCGGAAAAATTTTCGCAATGCCAATTAGAATTTGCGTAACCAGCCACGGTGGAACCATAACATCTGCAATCTACATCAAAATCCTGCCTTTAATTTAGGTGTAAATATCACAGACATGAGGGGGGGTCTTTCAGAATCAAGTAGAGAAGTATACTTTGCACATAGGTGCAACAAGAATGGCACCATTCCATGCATCAGGATGCTTCAGGTGAACCTTCAGAGCTACCGCCCCACCCATAGACTGTCCGAACAGGAAGCTTGGGAGACTACAGAACTCTGGGATCTCTGCACCCCAAATAACCATCTATAAGCATTATCAGCAATTCATGGCATAGTCATTCTGACAACAGTCTAGTCAGGAATAACGAGTATATGCTTATCTTTTACAGCAGCATAGTGAATATGCTGCCATGATGATAACAGGCTAAAAGAAGTATGAACACAAAAAGAATGTTACATGCAACAGTATGGAGGTTACATGGATGATACAGTTCTAATTTAACAAGACTTCACATAAGCATATATCTATCAGGCTGGTATATAGATCATTTAGATCAAGATGCTTTGTGAGTTCATGGACGTTGTCATGTAAACAGATTACAATACCAAATCCACTCTATTGGATTGAATTCAGCTAAGAGTTGGGATACATATGATACATCTTATTAAATGCCAACGTACAAGTCCTAAAAATGGTATTATGGTTACTAAAGCTTCAGAATTCCTTCATGCTTTCTGCTAGCATACTTTTTCCCCTTTTCCTTGGAGTCCTATCCAATACTTATTTAGATCTATCTTGGGTAAAAGAGAAATTTCTAAGATGCAGTGGTTACCTTGGTCTTTCTACATAGTCCCTATTGGCAAGAGTAGGAAAAATTAGCTCTTTTCAATTCAAGAAGTTCAAACATTTGCTTTGGATTGTATTCAACACCTTAGCTTGAATATGCTCAGAGCTACAGAATGAGCTTTCACATGGATCGAACAGAGATAAAAGTAAAGGAGGTATGTACTGAATTGTAATCTGATGTCTCAAAACTAATTTTCACAGTTAGATATTTTTTCCCAAAAGAATACTGCCATAGAGCATTAAGCAGATCAACAGGTGATATACCTTTAACTTTTGAGTAATGCTCAATGACATCATCGACCAGCTGGTCAAAGCTTGGAGTATAGCCATGAAGACCTTCTGAAAGACCATATCCTGGATAATCCATTGCAAAAATTCCATATCCCGATGATGCTAATTTCCTAGCGATTCCTACAACAATAATGTGATAGAATCATAAATACCATATTCTCTCAGATTAAGACTTGTACTTCCAATATTAGTCATGAGCTACATGCCTTCAAAGAAAAATGAGCAGGTGTCTCCATAACCATGACAAAAACAAATCACTGCTTTGGGGGGACGGGTCTCTGGGAGCCAACTTTTTGAGAAAACTTCCAACCCTCTAGAGTTCACCTTGTAAGACTGTACCACAGAATCTTGAATGACAACCTTCACATGAATATTCATAAGAAGTATATGCCTAAAGCATATCAAGATACTAAAGGGAATTCCACAAAGAACGATAGATTCAGCAAATACTTCTTTTCTATTCCACAAAATAGAACGGAAATGGCNTAGAGTTCACCTTGTAAGACTGTACCACAGAATCTTGAATGACAACCTTCACATGAATATTCATAAGAAGTATATGCCTAAAGCATATCAAGATACTAAAGGGAATTCCACAAAGAACGATAGATTCAGCAAATACTTCTTTTCTATTCCACAAAATAGAACGGACTAAAATGAAGTACACATAATGAAGCTAAGGCAAGTTGCTCAGTGGAAGGTTATTAAGGCTTAATGCTTGATTTATGAAAAAACAGGAAATCAATTCTAAATAAGCCAATAGAGAAGGATTACAGTGGATACATGAAGCACACAAAGTCGAAAGTAACAGTCCAAGAAAGAATTCCATTTTGAGAGAAGAGTAGAGTGAAACTTCCAAAGCCGTAGACAATGATTGAATCATGAGGAATCTTATTGTCAAAATAAAAGTTTGTCCATGTGAATCTTAATGTGCTGGCACTCCATATCCGGTTCCCCCCCCC